ATCAAGAACGGATTTCAGGACCTGGACATTTTTTTGCCCCTCATGGGGCAAGGGGGGCGTTTTTCTCATTAGGGTCTGAAATTTTGCACACCTCGGAAGATGGAGGTATATATATATATATATATATAGCTATAATTATAGTTATAAAAATACATATATAGTGTAGCGCGCAGAGAAAAGCAACTTTGATATGTTGAATTCCGGGGAATTTCCACCAGTCCTCCTGTTTGTACTTGACCTCTTTGTTTCCTGAGCATGCAAGTGTGGCATGCTTCCCGGATCATGAATTGGCCCGGTCCAATGGCCATCTGGAGCCACCCATCGCCGAACAAAAATCATGCTTGAATCCACTGCCAACGATAGGTCAACATATGTCAAAATTACTGTCCAAGCTTGGAAACACACACGCACACAGGAGAAAACTTAACTACTTTCCGGTCTCGGTCAGTTATGCGCACTGATAGCTCCACTTGAGACTAATCGGGCTGCGGACACTGCCGACTGTAAAAGATCTTACAAGGCTATGACTGCTGACGAACATCCACCAAGAGCCAAGGTACTGGGGATAGGCTCTGTGGCTGGCCATTCATTGGCCCATGTACGCAGCACTTCCATTGCTGTCCGCTGACGCTTTTCCCCGGGACCTGATGGTGCAAGGCAGAATCGGAGATTATCCTTGGGTAACCAAGCATGCCGTGCTGAGAAACCCTGTCAGTTTCTTGGGGGATGCATCAACCAAACGATGTACCCAAACGATTAATAAATCAGGAAATATCACTGCAGGCCCTTAGCCAGCCTGAGTCATAATCACAGAGGCGCCTTTTTTTGCGTTCCTGGGGCATGCAGTGTAAATCCTAAACCTGATGTAAAGCCGGGAAATAGCCTCCTCACTGTCAGCTTTACTGTTTCAGGTCCTAGCGCTGACCAGCATTCTTGGAAAGATTGGCCACGAGTTGCTACGCGCAATCCACAGCCCAACTGGACACAAACATACTGGGAACAGGGTACTGGTGCAATTCAAAGATTGTGGAGTTCCAGACTCCACCTAAATAGTTTCCTTTCGTTGTTGAAAACCACTGGTTGGCAGTAATTCCAATCGATTTCAACTTTTCAACCATCAAATTAGAGGGACCGGCTGTCTTTTGAGTCACTCATTTCGGTGCCTCCTGCAAAGAACAGAAGACTGCAGCCGGCGCCAGGCTCATGCAGGTGTTGCCAGCATTGTTGGCAACCTCAGTGAAAGGGCCGAAAGGCTGCTCTGGATGGCATCATTGTCAATCAAATTCCACAGAATTCTCTCTTAACGGAATGATGAGGTAATAGTAGCACTTTCAAGCCGTCCTAATTACATATTATAGACGAACTTTGCGAGTGCCCACTCAACAAGCTAGACTCTAGACTTTGTTTGACACTCCAAGTGTTGCTTGGGGAGTTGATGTGTTCTCAACATCCCTTCGCCATTTCGTAGCAACCCTTGATAGGGACAAATACCAAAAGACTGCGCTTATGTTTGACCAGCAGCAGGACGTCACCCCATTCCAGGAAAAAATGTATGATATTACACTCTAATGTAATGACAATATCACAATATCAGTTTATTATTTCATAATTAATTAGCCCTGTCCCTACCATATTTCTATTCACTGGAGACTTGGTGTTCCTTGCGTGTGGCAGGCGCTTCCCATTCCAATGCCCAGGCGCTTCCAAATTCGCCCCGCCTTCCAACAAGGCCTTGGCCGCAGCTGTCTTCTGACTCCTGACGGCATAAAACAACTTCAGAGAGGCACTACCGGCATGCCATAATGAGTCTCAGCATGTTTCAACCATCTTGCTGTGGTTCAAAATTGTTTCCGCCCTAGGACCCACAAAATGTCTTTTAATCATTCATACTGTCAGGTACAGGTACCCTATTTTTTCGGGATTCGGAATTTGACGCAGGAAAAATCTGATCAAAGAGCGGCCAAAGATACGATTTCTGAGCAATAACCTTCGCAGTCACGACATAAACTGCACACCGCCCATTCAGCAAACTTTTGCCCACCATCCTCCGACCAAAACAAACATCCTTGTTGGCAGCCCAGCAGCGCTGTTTCGCCGTGCACGTCCACAATATTGGGGTCTGCGCCTTGCTTCAGCAGGTACTGGATAGTTTCAGAATGACCTTTGCGAGCTGCAAAGAATAGGGCTGTTTGATTTATCACCTTGGCTCGCGGAGGCGAGTGGACACGATGGCACGCAATAGCAAACCCACACGATGAAACTGGATCAAACATGAGATGCTGAACCAGCAAAAACATGCAAACACCATATCCGTTTGGGGGTTAAAAAAATTAGGCCAAAACCGCTCGGCCATTTGCCAGTAACATCCCCCAACATCACTTCAGGACTGTGCCAAGCCACATCCTTGTAATTCACCGGTACGGATCTCTCAATCAGCATCTCACACAAGCTTTTGGCCTGCAGAGAATGCCAGGCCGTCAAGAGAAGGGGACCCTGCTTCTGCTTTTTGAGTAAGGCAAAAATGTTTGTTACATTGCAATAACATATTGTAAAGCAGGTAAACGGCATTGCGGGTCCCAGTTAAATGTCAACACCGTCCTTTTATAGTTCCATCAACTTGACAGCAATATTTCGAGCTGCTTGGCTGCAGCCTGGTGGTCAGATCCACGCCGATTGGCCGCGAAGAAAAGCGGTGTCTGATTGTGCGGCATGTAACCTCAGAAAAAATATCCCGCAAACCATCCAACAACCCAAAGGCTTGCCAAAGCATGCCACATGACCTCTTCAAGACGGAAGCATTTTGCAGCTCTTCTCCTATGTCCTGGGTGCCTGGAACAAGACTCCCTTGACGTAAAGAGAATGGAGAACTAGTTTTCACCTCGTTCTGATTGAGGCTTGCAGTCTGAAAAACAAGGTGCCGGGCATCTGAGGGGCTCCCCGCTGGTGGCATTTTTCATTTTTCTGACAGGGGATATTGGACAGGAACGACACTTTAGTTTCATTACCAACATCGTCACCAACTTCAACATCAACGTCAACTTCAACAAGTCGCGAGCCTCTCAAATGCCCGGCACCAAAAACAAACTCATGTGCCAAGCCACGAACCGAAAGAACTTGCAAAGAGGACCCTTTGATGATCTGCTTGGCTTTTTGGAAACTGCCATCCTCAGTCGGAGCTTGTTTGCAATGACCCTGTTTGCAAGCGCTCACACACTGAACTCATCACCCTTGTGTAGGGGGCCCAGCTTGGTCGTCTCAACACCACAAACAAATACAGATCATGGGGATGATCCTGCCATTCTTAGGCCGCAAAAAATATTTATTCTGAAGCAAGGTTTCCATCAGAGACGCTTGAAAAAGCGCGAGGGGTTGCCTTTTGTCAGTTCAGGTTCAGGGTTTTATGTACCCAGTATGGGCCTTGGTCTTGAGAGCTCTGCTCCACTGTTGTCTCAAACGAAAAAACAAACTTGTTAGGATATTCAAGTGCTTGGCTTGTCAATAACTTGCTGTCCGAATTCTGAACGGAGCCCTGCTTTGGAGAGCACGAATCCTATCAGGTTTAAACTCAGTCATACTCAGTCAGCATGTCCAAGCCGTCTGGGTTTGTGCCCCGTCTACCCGTGCAGTCTGATTCGAGATTCTCTGATGGTTAGAAACAATGAATCTTTGCTTTTCAGGGCCATGGCTGCGAAATCCCAAAGGGTCAAGACCGTCTGCGCCAAAAGCTAGATTTATGGCAGTGAATGAATCACAGTAGTGGGGATTGTGCATTCCCAATCAAGCAAATGGAATAACATAGAGTTAAACCAATGGCCATAGCGGGACAAGGCCTACCTAGGTCCAACAATCCGTATCCCAAAAGGATCTACATATATACTTGCGTGTATTTGTCTGCATGTATGTGTTTAATTGTTTACAGGTGGTTATAGATGTACGTATAGATGTATGTGTATCTATGAGATAGATATATATATATATTTATGTGTGTGTAAGGTGTCTTTGTATATGTATACATGTGTGTGTGCACGTACGTGCATGTGTATGAAACCGTGTATGTAACTTTGTATGTAACTGTGTAGGTGTAGGTGCATGTGTATGTATGTATGTATGTATGTATGTATGAATGAATGAATGAATGAATGAATGAATGAATGAATGAATGAATGAATGAATGAATGAATGAATGAATGAATGAATGAATGAATGAATGCATGCAACTACAAATAGCATATAATATAATTATTTATAAACAAACGCACACATGTATGTTGTTGTGATTGTGTGTACGAGTACGTATACAGGTCTGATGTGCAATAACCAATAAAAATAAATGGTATATGCGGCGTCAATATCAATGCGATGGTGTGCAGTATCGTGGCTACGCCACCAACAAGATACTTCAAGACTCTAAGATGTTTCAAGGTTTGAGCCAAGAGATGGGGGTGGGGCAGAGTTCTACATCATTCCAGCAGCAGCAAGATGTCACTAATATTGTGCACGCAACAACACTTGCACAGCGCTTGCACATTCAACAAGCTGTGGCTTTCAATCATCAAACATTTTCAAGGTTTGGGACCATTTCCGTGGATTCAAACATGATACCCTCTGGTGAACTAACATAGCAATGGAAAATGGCTATTTATAGTGGATTTTCCCATGAAAAATGGTGATTTTCCATTGCTATGTTAGTTCACCAGAGGGTACTCTTGTGACCTGTATTGGGCCCCCTGACACAGATTTTCGCGTCACTCTTCAACTCTTATGAGGGCAACATCGAAGGTCAATTTGATTCATCCAAATATATACAAGTGGATTAACCAGATAATCATGATTATATTAATCCCCCATATAAATCCGCAATTCCACATTGTTGTTGGTTGGACCCCCATTCCTATCCCTATCGATTGGTTTTATTCCCTATATTTCACCATCAAAATTGCCAGCATCGTCAGCCAGCTTTGTCAGTGGGTTGCCCCACGATCTGCTGTGCTTCGCCTGCATCAGCCCGGCGCACCTTGGGAAATGCGCAGCTCACCAAATGTGAGGACTTGCGCCCTATATATCATTATATATATATATATATTATCTACATAATATATATATATATATTATAAACATATTGTATAATATATATATATATATATGTATGTATGTATGTATGTATGCATGCATGCATGCATGCATGCATGCATGCATGCATGTATGTATGTATGTATACATATATTATATATGTATGTATACACATTATATATATATTATATACATTATATATATATTATACACACATATTGTGTATTATGTATATATATATTAAACATATATATATATAATGGCATATTCATACATATTCTATATGGAAGGTAAGGGAATATCATCATGGAATGTCATGGAATATCATGGATATGCGTATATCAAAAGGTGTATCAAAAACACGTCCTCTGATATCCCAAGTGTCCCACACACTATCCCAAGGACTGCAAGCATGGAAGCATCATCTCTTTCAGTACACTGCCAAAATTTGTCTCATGTTCAAAGAGAGTGAAGTTGAAGTTTCATAGCGCTGCAAGGCACACATGGTTCTGACTCTTGGTGAGTCAAGTTAATTCGTCATACATAGCAGCACCTGGACAATATGCATCTCCAATGTTGGATTGTCCACGATCATCCAGATATCACCCCCCGACTATCAATATCCCATATTTGTGATCGTCCTTAATGGCTGTACTTCTCTAGCCATGTTGATTGTTTACACAATCATTCTCATCAAGTTCTTTTCAACTATAACTTTTCACAGTTTTATGGTGCTCTGGCTACCCCCCTTTTGAGAAAGCCATATTCATAGATAGCTAAGGCTTCCCATTCGCTGTTGTATCCCCGACTCATAGTATCCCCTCTTGTTGCTGATCATCTGAGTGAACACAAATCTTCCATGGTTCCCCCAACTTTGGACAGCAATTGTTCCACCAAAACAAGGCCAAACCCTGCAAGTTGATTCAAGATATTCAAGTTGAGAGGTCCTCAAAAATGACCCATAGATGACTTTTGACCCTCAAGCTGCAGGTAGAATCTGAAGGTTAAGGCTAGTGGGACTTAAATAAATGATTTCAACTAACAAAAAGAAATGGCACACACATAACAAAACACGACAAACAATACAGCAGCATCAGCCCTGAAACAGTCCTTGGAGAAACAACTTCTTCAAAATGACCCGAGCCATGCCGAGCCACGGTGCTGTCCCTGTTTTCGGAAGAGCTCCGCCAACTGCTCGGGTCGCGTGGCGTCCACAAGGCGCTTGTCCTTTTTTGGATCTGGCAATTTCAAATGAAGCTCTGAAGTTCTGTACATGTTTGAGCAACCAACACCAAGATTATGACATGGATGTTTATTTTAATACATTTATATATATTTATTATACAATATGAATATTATTCCAATCACAATCAAAGGACTGGACCAAGTGGAAATACCGCCACTTCTAGATTCAGTTTCCAGCAAAGGTGGTGATTTGAACCGACTGATCTGAGCTTGGTGGACCATTCCAGTTTCGAAACATGTTCCGCTTGGTGCTTTCAACCCCCCTGCATAGTATGTGAAGACGATGGAATCACCATCCCAAAGAATTACGGGTCAGATCTGACCAGTGATTATTTGGAAACAACCAAGCAGTGTTTCACATCTCCAGATATCTCAAGGTCTACTCCAAGAACCGCATCTGATGTCCCAGCCTACCCGGCAGTCCTCCCGCTTCCGCATGAAGCGGGGAAAGCGCAGAGACAGGCCTTTCTTGGGGTCCACCAAGCCACGTGCTGCCATGTGCTTGGGGGAAATGGTGATGTCCTCGGGTTTTCGATGGGGTTGATATGGGTGGATCATGGGGGGATGGGGATGAGTTTGGTGGAATAACTACCCTCTGGTAATTTAACAACACTATTAACTATGGAAAATCACCATTTTTAATGGCAAAATCCACTATAAATGGTCATGTTCAATAGCTATGTTAAATTACCAGAGGGTAACTACTTGCTCCAGAATAAGCCTAAATTGTGGTTCAAACATGGTCTTTTCTCCGGGTCGTATGTTGTATGTCTGGTACAGGCTGGAAAAAAGAAGGTATGAAATATCATGAAATAAATGGCATCTTAAATAGTCTTGGAAGCAAAACCACAAATCCACTCATTCCACACCACAAAGTCCATTCTGTTAAAATTGGCCTTTTACCCGATGTGTGGACTGTATCATCATTCCAATCAACATACACGCAAACGCACTTCTATTGCAAAACATACAGTGGCTTCCTCTCAAGAATCAAGCACCCAAGAAACAACATTGGAAGATATTGAAAGCAACCATCCACCACTTGAACATGTCAATTTCGATAGTCAAAAAATGGCAAAAATCATCCCAACATCATCTCAACATCATCCCAAATCCACATCCCCACCTTTTGCAAACATCTGCACAAATCCCATCCCATCCCATCCCATCCCATCCCTTCGGCCCAGGTGCTGCACCACGGATCTCCCAAACCTCGCAGGGCTGGAACCAAAAGGCCGGCGCCTCGTCGGTCTCCACCCCCTCCGCCGGGCGCTTCAGCTGCAGCCCGCTGGAGCCGCCGCTTGCGCCTTGGGAGATGGGGCCGGAGGTAGAAGTAGATAGATCTTGTAATATTAGATGATATTAGATATCTATGATTGGCAAAAAAGTTGGATGAATTCTTGGTTCCTATTCTTTCAACTTGTTTGGCATCTCAGAGCTAGGTCTCAAGGGGTCAGTTGTCTGCTGAGTCGTGGTCAATTTTAGGTTCACACAAACACCAAAACAACATGTTTTTCGGGGACATGATCTGGAATCATGGGCACCTAACCAAACAACCCATAGACGTGAGCAATCATGGTCTGCCTTTCTTGTACTTCTTGAGTGCCACATGTTTTCACATTTCCATGGCCACAGCCATTGCTGCCAAAGGTCTGCTTTTCGCGACTGGGATGGCTTCTTCATCATCTACCTGCTGGGTGCACAAGCAGGCGAACTCAACTCCCAAATAAATGAAATAAATGAACACTGATTGGCAGAAAATGGTCCTTGTTCCGTGCTTACAACTTGCAATCAAATACAAACCTGATTTCCCAATCATCAATCATTTCATGTTGAGGACTAGATCTTTCAACCCCCAAGAAAGGGCCGAATTTCATGCAGTCCATCCCAGTTATCCCAGATTGCAGGCACCTCACTGTCCCCTAATTCCTGGATATTCCTGGTCCCCGCCCAGGTGCCTCTTGCTCTTCAGATGCTTCTTCGCCTGCGAGTTATGGTGGTCTCTGGTATCTCAACATAAAAAGCTTGGGATGGAGTAACAAAACGCAGAAACGCAAGACAAAAAATCAAACAAACATCAAACAACATGTAGGACCAAGTAGGACACAACCTATCATGGTTTCAGAATGGTTGACTCCATCCCGATGCCCCGAGGTTTTCACGTTGCCATATCGGTGAAATCCTAGGGATACTATCGCTCGTACCCCACCCAATAATCGCATACCCCAAATTGGGGTATCATAATGATAATCGATAATCCTGTCCTTCTCATTCTATTATCACTGGTCATGATGGTCATGATCATTAAACAGGCACGCAAATAAATATTTGTTATCTATCAGTACTTGCAGCGCTAGTAGAGATGGACGACAATATAGCCCTCCCGAAGCCCTCCCATAAACAATAGACAAGTAAATTCCACAAACATACCTTTCTAGTAGAAATACCTAAAATATAATACCTGAAAAAGAACAAAACCTCTACACAACGTAAATGCCTTTCGCTGCTCTATTTTGTTTATCTTTTTTTGGATTAAGATGGATTAAGTATACATCACGTATATAATCTATCACTATATCAGATACCCCATTACTCAGCACTCATCTGCTATCCATTCCTCAGGGCCTTCGCCCTCCTCTTGGGCTTCCTCCTTGTCTCGCGAAGTGCCGTCGAGTTCGTAGCCCACGTAGCGGATGGTGTTCTCCTGACCGAGGTGTCACTGGGTGTCACGCACGGGGTCCTGGACGATGAATCGGGGGAGATGGAACGGTTACAGTTGTTGGATTGATTTACAGTAATATACTGTGAATATGTGGTTAATATACTGTTAATGATGGTTAATATATGGTTATGATGATGGTTAATGATTTACAGTTTTATATACTGGTTGGTGGTATACCTATCCCTCTGAACAATATATGAAAGTCACTTGGGATGATGAAATTCCCAATATATGGAAAAATAAAACATGTTCCAAACCACCAACCAGTGTAATACAACTAGACATAGGGGAATCAAACAATGCAGAACAAGAGAAATCCTGAAGCAGATCAAGTACAGAACCAACAGCTGTGGATGTATCATGATATATATATATATATATATATATATATCATGATGTATCTACCCTCTGGTAATTTAACATACCTATTGAAAATGGCCATTTATAGTGGATTTACCCATTAAAAATGGTGATTTTCCATAGTTATGTAAACGTTTACCAGAGGGTAACTTGGGGACCTTCTATTTTCTGCAGGTCATTGTCCAATTTTGGTCGTGGAATGGTGGTGGAATCACCCGGTGAACTTCCCTTTGGCCGGCCGTCCTTGTAGAACTTGTCACTGAAGCCGGACATGACGCGGCACACGCTGCCCAGGGTACCATCCGTTGGATCGTACCTGGAGATCGCCAGAGTTGTGCAATTTAGGACCGATGTCTGCCTCAAAAGTGCTTCAACATGGTCATGAATTCAATGGTCTTAAATGACATTGTAGGTGATTAATCGTACCATTGAATTGACAATTCATGTTGAACCATTGTGATGTACCACAACACAACAATCACAACAATGAGAATTTCCGTCGTCTTTGTGGTACTAAAGGGCCCATTGTCTTGAGACGATCATTTAAGCCATCGCCATCGACAAATTTGCAATCATCCACCCCAAAAGCACACAAGACATTAAACCAACGTGCCTTTGGTTCTAATTTGTTGCAATCCTGCAAAATGGGGTCAAACATGGGCCGCACGCCCCAAATTTCGAAGCTTTTTCCAAACAACTGACTATCTTGCTACAGATTGAATCATGTTGGATACGTCAAGAACTGAGGTCCCCTGGTTGAAACAAGTTTGACAAATTCCCAGCGGTGCAAAGGCTCCAGTTCATTCCTCATTGTTGGTCGATGAAATCCATATCTCATGACCCGACATGGAACAAAATACGTGGTCGAATATCACGAACAGTTGATTTTTGTTGAATTTCCCCATGCTTACAAAGTAATTAAATCACATATTGATGCATTTTCCAAAAGATCCACATTTCTCCTTCCCTCTGGAAAAACACATTCTTCACATGACTGACCCCAACACCATTTGCGTTCCCATGAAAAACATTGAAAAACGACCAAGTTCTGATGATTTTGGGTTTCCCTCTAGCAGCTAGCATTATTTTCAATAGCTATGTTAAATTACCAAAGGGTACCAACAAGAAGAGTGTCCCTGGTACATCATCCCATCCTATCAGACACCCACCGACCGCGCACGTGGCCATGAGCCACGGCGAGATCCATCGACTCTTGCGGCCGCTGCCGCGCCAGCCGCCGATGGGGACAAGGTCCAGGGAATCGCCCATGGAATCCAAGTAGTCCTACATCACTACCCTCTGGTTATGACTAACAGTTTGCTATTGAAAATGGCCAGTTATAGTGGATTTTCCCATTAAAAATGGTGATTTTCCATAGTGAACTGTTAGTTTACCAGAGGGTAGGTGGATTTTGGGCTGTGGTTTTTGATGTTGGCAAGGAAACAAAAAAACGGGGAAACTTAATGGATGTGACCAGTGAACATTTTGTGGGTTGTCGGTTACTGCAATTTTTGATTTACTTTCATCCAATTCGGGGAACTGTTGGTGGATTTTCGGAGGTGCTGAGCATGCCATGCGTCTGAGTTTTTGGAATATCATGGGATCCTGGGGAGTGTGTTCCTCATGTAGCTTTACCATGTAAGTTGGTGGTGTTTATGCTTAACATCTTTGTTCTTTTCATAACTCTTTTGAACTGTGTTGGGTCACTTGTAGAAGCAACTTCGTTCCTCTCTGCTTTGCTGTCGGAGATGCTCAAACAATCTTAAATGGATCGCCCGACATATCATGAATACACTCAGATCAATGCGGTGCAAAGGTCCTTCTTGAGCTTCAACCAACAATCGGAACGCTTTGTGGAAGGTTCGTAAATGGAGTCAAGGTGTTTAACCTCGACCGTTGCGACCGCGGAATGAAAAGCATGCTGGAGACATCCTCACATCAACTCAAGTAAGTACTTGTCTGCACAAGCAGGTATAGCTACATACAACTAACTGTTGACATGACCACTTAGCCTTAACCACTCTGTAAAAAAAAAGAATCACAATGAATCAATGATGAATCCAAACGATGCAAACATCTACAACTGTTTAATGCCATAACTTCGTATTTCCGCTGATCAACATCATCAAAATAGTAGAATACCCAGGTTGGTATTTTGATGATGATATCCTTGGAATGTATAACCTGAATATATCCTTGGAATCCATCCTTGATACCCAGGTTAGCCAGGGGGCCATCAACCCCTCGCAGGACGCGGCCACGGAGCGATGCAGAGCAGCCTTTGCAGCGGGATGAAATTTGTTTCATGGATCAGAAGGTTGAACAAAAATATACAGTAAATATATTATATCGTATATTTGATTGTGTCATAAATGTATCTAATCCATTATCCATTCAAATCTTATATATAATTATATATCATAATACTACAAAATTGTGTAAATATATGTAGTACAGTATATCATATCGTATATAAATGTATCTACATATCATGTTAAGTAAAACATAGTAAAACTATGTACACTAATGTACAGTAGTATATTCGTTGGCACGAGGAAGTACAATCAAAGATGTCAGAATCCTGTGAAACACCAGCCCGCTTGGCCACTAATCAAGGTCGCATGATATGAGGCGTACCTGGGCTTGGTTGAGTTGGATTCATTCCATCTGTGAAGGATGGATGATGTAGAAAATCATGGCTGTATGAACAACCAACATGTATTACATACATATACGTATAATTATTATTAATTATTGCTGTTTGACCTGGGCTCATTTCACTTGTAGATTGTGACCCAAAAATGCAGCAATTCCACCCCGCACCTCAAGAACAGCCTCTGCTTTTCCTTCTGCCTGAGTAAGGCCCAGCAGGCGAAAGCGGAGGAAACTGCCCAAGTATTCATCATCAACTGCCCAAGTATTCATCATCAACACACCTAACAACCATCAACAATCACACCCAGGACCTCTCTAACAACCAGCAGAATCACTCATGAAATTTCCGGGTTTCATCGCATCCAAGGCTCGATTTTGAGGTCTTCTGTTTCGGCAAAGGCCAACAAGTCCTGCAAGGATCCACTTAGAGCCGGCCATAAAGCACGGCAACAAATAACACAATGACCACAAACGACTAAAGAATGGGCACAGAATCATAGAAGACAACAATACGGCATTTGTTGTTGTTTCCATTGACAAAGTATGATTTCTATTTCAGTGGCTAAGTTCTTCAAAGGTTTTTGTGTACTCCAACCAACCTCTCACGGTGGCTCTCCTCAAGTTTCTCGAAATGTTGCTGCAGTTTCTCCCTTCGTTTCCCAAAAGGCAGAGCGATCAAAGACTCCTGGGACGGTCAAGACATGTCAGTGGAGCATTTTTCATGAACCAGGCCACAACCAATCAATATGTTCAAATTTGTTCAAGTTTAGATTGCATCTCAAGTAGTCTTAAATGAGAAACTTGGACCAACTATGACCAACCGATTCCGTGTCTCGTGTGCTTCATTTCACCCGCCGTTTGTTCGCCTGGAAGTAGAGAAGATCAAACAGAAAGACCTTCACCTTGGAGAGATGGGACAAGCCATGGATCTCTGGCAATGAACAAATGTAGAGATTACTAGCTATAGAATGCCAGACATATATATGTCGGGCTGTTTTCGGGAAGCAACCAGCAACATGCATTCTGGATGCTACAAGTACCAAAAGCAAGGGATTGATTTGAAAAGTACGTCTTGATTGCTTAGTGGGTCATAGTTGGATCATGTTGGATCAACTTTGTAAACTCGTCAAGATCAAAACTGACTGTATATTATATGCATAAATATGCATAAATTATGTCATATGGGTTTGTGTTCAAATGGTTTGCGACACACACACACAGAGCAATTTCACCAACGCGACACATATTTGGGTCCACTATTGCCCACATATACCCACTCTTACATACTCTTACTCAGCATCCTACCAAAAAATCACACATCACAAATCCAGCAGTGGGAACATTTTACGACATATTCACAGACACATTTCCACATCATTTCCTTAGGAACAAAAACAACAACTGTCTTTTCCAGATCCACCTTACCCCAGGGGCCCCAGGGACCCCAGGGTCCATCCAACCGCCAGGATGAACCATGATGAGCCACGGCCACGGCGGTGTTCTGCTCCGTGACGTTTTTGCGTTTGCGGGTGGACAGCGACTGAAAGGCCTCAGGATCAACCGTGGATGGTATACGGACAGACATACCCGGATTTTGGATTCATCCATCCTCCTAGTATTATTTTGTTTACCCAAAAAAAACACATTGTATGGTCCCAAATATGGGTAATTAAATTGTAAACCTTATATACACACTTATACTAAACTGAACCATGGTTTCTGGAGGTGTTTAATATTCGGGGGACGGGATTATGTACTATAAAATCATATAAACTCACCCAAATGTCAAGTAGGTCAAGAACCTCCAAACCAGTTCATCATCAACCAACAGGGGTCTTGAAGACTGCCTGTCTGACTTACCGGTTAAATCGATTCCATTGGAGCTTTACGGCAGTGGGCTTGCAGAAAGCAGCAAAGGTCATCCACTGACAAGTGTAGCAATCTTCAAACCACGAAAGAAAAATGCAACTGCCCAGGGGCGTGTCCATCTTTTTAAGTTCAGAAACAACTTTCAACATGCGCCGATCAAACAAAATGCTTTTACCCAACAGTCACTTAATAGAGGAAATACCCTCTGGTAATTTAACATAGCTATGGAAAATCACCATTTTTAATGGGAAAATCCACTATTTCTATGGTCATGTTCAATAGCTATGTTAGTCATAACCAGAGGAAATAATGACAGTGAACCACCCACTACCCAGTCACATCCCCAAGTCAAGGCGCCGCAATGTCCACTTGGCTACCTGCCTCCTGGCCTGCCTTGCCATGATGTTTTTCGGAGAAAGAAGCAGCCAACAATAAGTATCAGCAGTCACCATCAGCAACCATCATAGACAACGAACCTCATAATATCTCATAATCATAGCAGCAGTATTTGTGGATGGTGACTATCATGTTTGTGTTTATTTATTGATAATATTTGATAATGATCACAACTATCACAACGTATCACAACCATAGAAGTAAGAATCATCAACAACATCAGCTAGGCCCGGCATGTTCCACTTGCCTCCGCCTTCGGCACCACTGCCACCTGAAAATTTGTGGCAGGGGTGGTGGCTGTTGACCAAGTCATCCCAACCACATGGCGAATTATGGCTGGTGGTCAAATGAGATGGTCTTCAAAACCGACAATGAGGTGGGGAACGTCAATCGAATTAATAAACATGAGGTTGGAGATGTCACTCCATCCGCAAGAACATCGATAGGAACTCATCAACGGAAAAGGTAGAAACTATCCAAAATCATCCAAAATCCCCAACAAAGACATGGTCACACAAAAATGTGCTTCCAAGTAATGGTGAGGTTCGCAAACTTGAAAGAACCAACAGGATCAAAAAGCTATGTCCCTTCACATCTTCAACCGTCAACTTGAGAATGGCATGTTTTTTGTTACAGTAAGCATTCAGCATTGACAATCCACAACATGTGCAATCCTGTCCTTTATTTTCCAGTTTTGTTGAGGGGTATTGATGTCATGATCCAGCTCTTTACAAACATATGAACACATATCATCACATGATACCATTGTTTCTTGATATGCACGGACCAACCACCGCTGATAGCATATCTCGCTAAGACGAGCGGCTATCTCGGCATCCAACACGCACGCTGCTTTGGTCTTTTGAGACCGTTTCACCACGCTGACAACATCCGGATACCTTCCATTCGACAGGATGACAGCAGGTTGAAGTGAGTAAACACACAGTGTCTACGCCTCGTTCCTAAAAGAACGCAAACGACTTTCTGTATCTCTCTGTCGAGGTCCGTAATCGATCAGCTGTCATGAAATTCCAACTTCTACAACATAAGGAGGTGGTTCGCGCCAAACATAGCACCATGGAGCACTTGTAAGTCATATCGTCCAATTTTCGCGAAAAGATCTTCACAGTACCTGACTCAGACATGTGAGCAAATGTGAGCGTTTCGATGATGTCCTACATGTCTATCTTCCTGGATCTTTCTGCAAGAAGGTCTATATCCTCTTTTGTCCACCTCTTCTGGTTGACAATTTGGGACCCCAGCAGGGTAGATGTAACCCCTTTTTCTGCCAGCAACTCCTTGATGTCCAAGTCGAGTCTTGCTGAACCCTAAGTTTTAACACATTATCCCAACCTTCAAGCATTGCTCACGTAACACCCCTGGAGGCGTCGGTCAACCCGCCAAGAAACAGTCCACATCGATTTCATCAACGGAGGTGGCTCTAGTCTCACCATAGCTAGGCAAATTGCATTCCATCAGTCAGATCAGGGCAGACCATAGATTACATCCCAGCCTATACACTTCTCCCTGGAGGCCAAATTCACCATGGATCTGCTGTGGATGGAGACATAGTATGTCTATGGATGTCTATGGTGTGTGCATCTTACTAAGGCTAAGGTATAATTACCACCCATCCACGAGACCAAACAACCACCGGCATCTGTGCTGTTTCAGCGCCAGGTTACCATTTTCCAAAACGTGAATCTGAGCACGCTGGCCATCATACCTGCTCCACGCCATGCTGGGGATTGGTATGTGCACAGCAGTGAGAAACCCGAAGACGCGTTGAACAAGATTGTCATACTAGTGCTATAGTATATATATATATAGTCATATAGTGTTGTCTATCTGCAATTCTATATTATAATATATTTGATCCAATCAAGCAGACACTAGTTGCGCTTTCATTGGGAGACCGACCAGACTCTTTTGCATGATCGAACAATAACAACTCTAAATATTCTAAATCTTGTCGCCCACCCGTTCTGGCAGGTATTTGACACATCATCTCACCATTTCCAAACCCTTGCCCATATGCTCCGTCTCTGGTATCCAACTCTTACCCAATAAATGACCAGTTGTAAATGAAGCATACTTAGAGCTGGAACTGTAGTTTAAAATTGGAAGAACCCTGGTGAAAAAGTGAACACCACCTAAGTTACTAAGGTGAGACATATCTGCCCCTGGGACTATGTCAAAATACCCGCAAGTCTACCACCTATTAAATGCAACTGCATCCCCAAGAAATAGCTTAAAAATAACTCCTTCAATTGCTGCTGAGGCTCTTAAACTCCGCAGCCAGTGTGGCGCTCGCCTCAACCAGCATTTTACCTAATCCTTGAGGTCTCGGGCAGGGAGCACTCTATTTTCAAACAAATGTTGAACTACGGACAAATCAAAGCAAACACGGCTAGTCCAACACACCAATAAATGCTAAGGAACAACAAATACAGGATGATGAACATGCATCAAATCAATCAACGCAAAGTGTGCACACTCTGTAATGACTGAGTAGATTGAATAACTAGAAACTTGACACGCCTCTATGATCACATCTAACCAACATTTGAAATGATGTTGAACCCTCCTCAATAGGGAAACTTTCTCATCCACACTTTGGTTGGTAAAGCTCCCATTGTTTTGTGTGGTTGAGTCCCTATATTGTTTGCTTCAACACCCAAAGCATGGCATTCTGAATCCTCAAAGTGATTTGCTTGGGCGGTTTTGGGTACCAGAAATCACTTTTTTTTGCGGGTAAAAATCACCCGTATTGTCCATTTCCCCGGTTTTTTGGGGAGGTCAAACCATGTTTCAGCTGCGAAAGCAATTGTTGGCTCATGATTTGTTGCAGCTAAACTCCCATTGTTTTTCATGGACAAATCCCCCCCATCGGAGCCGACCTTTTCGGGCATGGAATTCAGGATGCGCTTCAGCAGCTCTTCCACGGAGCTGCAGGCCTGCCAGCCACCGGCAGGGATCCTATTGGATGATAAACCATGGGGAAAAAACGGATAAACCCATTGGATTTTGATGCTCGATTCTCTAAGGCAATGGTATCTATAGCGACAAACAAGAAGATGCAGAAAAAATCAAATCCCACTTTGTGCCGTCTGGACAGAGGACAGCTGGTCCTACCTCAAATTCTGTCAGTTGTCCATGCTCGTGGAAAAAACACTTGTGAGGGCTGTAATGGGGTACGGTAAGGGTTTACTGATGTTTTGCTCATCATTTAATTCTGATATGTTACCAGCCCCGCAGATTGCATGGGCGATTTGGGGTCGTAGATTCCCGGAACCCCAGCCATGGGTTGAGGGAACATCTACAAATACCCTGCAAAAAATATTTGCCAGTTGGTCACTTATTTTTTGGACCTGGGTATGGATCAATACCTATTAATACCATTTTTAGTGGGATGAACATCCATTTACCAGCCATTTTGATGTTCACCAGGGGTACAAGGTTTTGACACACTGCCACCTAAATTTGAAGCAACAAATTTCCCAGATTTTCCAAACCAACTAATGTTCCCCCCAAAATTTTCAATTTTCAATCCATTGAATTTTGGACCCTCGGTTTTTTGCGCCTTGGCCAACATGGGCTGCATTGGGACACCCAATTGCAGGGTGCAGGACTCTCGCACTGCCTGTGCTGGAGCAATCATCTCAATTTTGGGGACCAAACATCCCTGAAGAATAAGATGATTGGTATTAATTAGTGTTAATTAGTATTATTTCATATTAATGCATCAACCAAAATTTCAAACAAACACTTATTTTTGATTTGCTTAAATTGCCTGTTGATCATGTTTGATCACCAAATTTTCCAAAACAACAATTGTTCATGATTTTCTTACTTGCCCTTTACATAGCCAATATTCCACAAAACAATTTTTCCCTTTAAAATTAACACCCATATCGGGCCAAAAAATAAACGATTCCAATCAATTCAGCAGTCATTGTAGGGGGTATTTAACATGGCGGAAAAGGTTTTGTTATGATAACAATTGAACTTTCGGTTTGGCAGTCATTTGTTTTCAAAGTCATCAGGTAAATTTGAGGTTGAGGTGACACACGTATACCTTGAGACCATGGCCGGAAAGGCTTGCATGTTTACAGGAAAAGACATGTCTAAAGTGTTGGGGCAATTGCAAATTGTGTATATATAAACATGTATGGGTAAATTGTGATGTTTCACTAACCTGAAATAAGGCTATTTTGGGGATGATTTCCCTTACTAACCATGATTCCAGTGAGGTCGCAGTGAGGTCGTTATAATTTACCCATATATATATAATATATATATAGTGCCGGACATACACTTAGAAAATATTTTTCCAAATTTTAAGATCTCACAATTAGAACCGCTTGTTTAAGGATTTTGCCCCACGCTTAGAGCATAAGACTTAGAACATCTGAGCAACATTGCCCCTGATGTTCTAAGTGTGGAGTCTTTGCAAGCTACTGATGGTTTTTGAACATTATCATACAGTATCACATCATCAACTCTGCGGACATTTCCCTTTTCTTGATCGCATCGCTGGCATTTCAAGCTACTTTCGATGCCTTTGTTTGGCAATGCTTGCAAACTTGATATGTACACGTCTCAGCAGATTTTCCCAAGTGTTGGTTGTATAGCGATCATTTCAAGCTAATGTTGATGCCTTTGTTTGGCAATTCTTGCACACCTCATATATACACATCTCTGTTGATATTCCCAAGCAGTTCCGCTTCAGATGTACCTGACAGGGATTCGTCTATGTGTGGAGGGAAACTCACCAAACGGCGGTTCTAAAGTGAGAGATTGGACAATTTGAAAACATTGATGTTCTAGGTAATTGTCCATTACTAAAAACGATTTCATATGTACGTTTCTATAGTTCGATAAATACTGCATGAAATTTGTATACATATAAATAATTAAGAAAAATACGTGTATATATATATATTATTTATGTTTTTTTTGATTTTGATTTTTGACTGCAGCCGAAGCCTTGCTTCAGGGCCTGAGAATAAAGTACACTTCCTGCAGATCTATCGACAATGGCAACGAAGTAGATGCCGTCAATGTTGGGATGATGTAGGTAAGCATTTGGGATGTTCTAAGTGTGGGGTCTCCACAGCAGAATGCTAGAATATACAACGGTCAGCCGAATTTTGAATCCAATGTGGAGCGGGTAATCTACTCATTTGATTCAGAAATCTTTGAGATGAGAACTTAACCCAAAGCACATTTGGAATCCCCATGCACATCAACACCAAAGCGTAGCTGAATCAATATTCATGCGTAGTTCAATATGGGATGTTCTAAGTGTGGAGTCTCCACAGCATAGTGCTAGCATGTAAATAAATAAATATATAAATATATATATATATTGAACTGTCAACCGAATTTTGAATCCAATGTGGAACGGGTAATCTAATGATTTGAGTCAAAAATCTTTGAGATGTAAACTTAACTCGAAGCACATGTGGAAATCCCATGTGCATCAACACTAAAGCGTAGTTGAATCAATATTCAAGCGCAGTTCAATATTGGATGTTCTAAGCGTGGGGTCTCCACAGCATAATGCTAGCATGTATATTTTTTTTTATATATACAACTGTCAGCCGACTTTTTAATCCAATGTGGAACGGGTAATCTACTGATTTGATTCAGAAATCTTTGAGATGTGAACTCAACCAGAAGCAAATTTGAAATCCCCATGTACATAAACACTAAAGCGTAGTTGAATCAATGTTCAAGCGCGGTTCAATATGGGATGTTCTAAGTGTGGGGTCTCAACAGCAGAATGCTAGCACATATATATATATATATATATAACTGTCAGCCGACTTTTTAATCCAATGTGGAACAGGTTAATCCACTGATTTGATTCAGAAATCTTTGAAATGTGAGCTTAACCCGAGGTACATGTGGAATCACCATGCACATCAACACTAAAGCGAAGTTGCATCAATATTCAAGCGCAATTCAATATTGGATGTTCTCAGCGTGGGGTCTCCACAGCAGAATGCTAGCATATATATTATTTATATATATATCTATCTATCTATCAGCCGAAGTTTGAAATCCAATGTGGAACGGGTAATCTACTGATTTGGTACAGAAAGCTTTGAGATGTGAACTGAACCCGAGGCACATTTGGAATCCCCATGTACATCAACACTAAAGCGTAGTTGAATCAATATTCAAGCGCAATTCAATATTGGATGTTCTAAGCGTGGGGTCTCCACAGCATAATGCTAGCATATAAAAATATATCAAACCGTCAGCCGAATTTTGAATAAAATGTGGAACGGGTAATCTACTGATTTGATTCAGAATCTTTGAGATGTGAACTTAACCCGAAGCACATTTGAAATCCCCATGTCCATCAACACGAAAGCGTAGTTGAATCAATATTCATCAAGCGCAGTTCAATATGGGATGTTCTAGGCGTGGGGTCTCCACAGCAGAATGCTAGCATATCAAATATATATATATATATCTATCAGCCGAAGTTTGAATCCAATGTGGAACGGGTAATCTACTGATTTGATTCAGAAATCTTTGAGATGTAAACTTAACTCGAAGCACATGTGGAAATCCCATGTGCATCAACACTAAAGCGTAGTTGAATCAATATTCAAGCGCAGTTCAATATTGGATGTTCTAAGCGTGGGGTCTTCACAGCAGAACGCTAGCATATATGAATATATATATATATATATAGCCGTCAGCCGAATTTTTAATCCAATGTGGAAAGGGTAATCCACTGATTTGATTCAGAAAGCTTTGAGATGTGAACTTAACTCGCAGCACATTTGAAATCCCCATGTACTAAAGAGCAGTTGAATCAATATTCAAGCGCAGTTCAATATTGGATGTTCCAAGTGCGGGGTCTCAACAGCAGAATGCTAGCATTTATGAGGCCTTGTCAAAACTTATTGTCTTCGCTTGGTTCCCGAAAATTGGGTGTCGCTTTTGGAGGGGGCCTATCGCTAGCCATGGTATTGCAAAAAGAGGCAAGGAAGAAGGACGGAAGAAGAAAGGAAAAGGAAAAGGAAAGGGAAAAGGAAAAGCAGAAGGAAAAGGGAAAGGAAAGGAAAATGATTGGGAAGAGGAAAAGAAAAGGAAAGGAAGAGGAAAAGGAAAGGAAGAGAAAAGGAAAAGGATTGGGAAGAGGAATGGAAAAGGATTGGGAAGAGGAAAGGAAAAGCATTGGGAAGAGGAAAAGAAAGAGAAAGGAGGAGGAGAAGAACAGGAAAGGAAATAAAGAGGAAAGGAAAAGGAATGGAAAAGAAATGGAAAAGGAAAAGAAAGGAAGGGAAGAGGAAAGGAAGAGAAAAGAAAAGGAGTAACGGCAAAGAAAGGGAAAAACGGAAAGGAAAAAGGAAAGGATCTATTTGTGGTCTGGTCTGGGGTTACTTTTTGAACAAATGGGTATCGCTAAGGTATCGCTAGAGGTATCCCTAATTTAGCCTCTTGCATGTACGTAACTTTGTGCAAAACAACTTCAGATGTGGACATTATGCACAATTATAGGTATCGCTTTTGGAGGGGCCCTATCACTACACAGTGTTTTGTGTATTTTCCAGACACCAGAGAACTCTCCTTACATAAGTAGTATACCAGAGTTTTGACCGTGCCTCATATGTTTTTCAATGTGTTTTGTGATGTTCTAAGTGTGAAGCTTCCCCAGGGTATGATACCACTGGCATTCAACCAGTTGTGAAGAACAGTCAAATCTTCGAGCTAACATCTGGTTTTCAATACAAAATATATGATTATGTCTACAGGACGTTCTAAGTGTGAGGCCTCTGCAGGGCACCGTGTGATTCAGTATCAAACTGGAGGTTCTAAGTGTGAGATTCGGGGATGATCTAAGTGTGAGAATCGCTTGCGGCATGAATCTTGTTTTTCTTCCAAATTATGTCCTAAGTGTGAGTCCGTCACTATATATATATATATATCATATCCACATTTATATAGATGCATTTAATCTCTTTGGTGGTGCACAATTCCCATCATTTCCCCATTGTTGGTCCCCTTCATCATTCTGGGGTATACGTTGTCACGTTGTGCAGAATTGTTGCACGCACGATCTGGGTTGACACAACCTAGACGGTTACCAAAACACTGCATGGTTCCAAGTGACCTGCTTCAAACATATGTCAAATGTAAACCCAACATGCTTATTGATACAATATGATACAATGAAGATATGGCAACATGACCAGTGGCAATTTGAGCAATGTTTAAAGCCTTCTATCGTCTATCTACTTGTACTGGATGGTCAAAAACTCAATCCCTTGGATGGTCGAAAAGTCAATCCATGGTTCGCAATAGTCCGCCAAATCTTGGACCGTATCATTCATTGTCATTCCATATTATCAACATTTATCAACCATATTCAATAATAATCAACGGCACAGGGGCTTTGAAAAAATGAACGCTCCTCAATGGGGAATGGGTCAAAACCCTGGTACCTAGTGAACCCCAAAATAGCTGGTAAATGGATGTTCATCCCACTAAAAATGGTATCTATAGGTATTGACCCATACCCAATGGACTCCACCCTCCCCTCTGGCACCTCAACACCGCCGCGCAACAACGCCTCCACCAGCGCGTGCACGTCCGGCCGCAAGGCGTAGCCGTGGCGGACCTGGCGCGGTGCTGGTGGTGCTGGTGGTGGTGGGTGGCCATGGAAAAAAGTCATAACTTTAAGCAGCTAAATTTGATTTGAATTTGATTTAACCAACAAAATCGTAGGACATTGTTTGGTTCACAAAAAAAAAGATGGAAAACGGGTACTTATTTATTTGAAGTGGTGTTATACGCTGGTAACAAACAAAAACCATGCCCGGCCTCTTCCTGCACGGCGCGCAGGGCCTCTGCAGATGGTCCTCGGTGCCATGCTGTTCGGTGCCGGGAGTGCAAGGGGAACACTGGAACTTCCAAATATTGAAGTAGATGATAGTATATAGATGTATAGGTTGATATTCATGTACTTATTTGATGATTATCTCTATAACTATATATATATATTTATATATATATATATTTACACACATATTAATATATATATATATACTTACTTTTATTGCAACAGTATATTGTATATCATATCAATCATCTTAAATAAATACAGGTTCTTGTCCAAAACAATCCCCTTCTGAATATATGTAGCCACACACTGGAAGCAGTCCAGGCATGGCCATCTCCAAAACCGGCGCGTCTTTTCCCGGATCGAAGACTTTGCTTCGCCGTGCTTCGCCAGATCTCCTTCACCAAACAGATCAGATTTCCTACCGAAGATGGAACTTGATGCTGTTTAATTTGGTTACTTGAGGTAGCAAAGCCTGAAAAAACAAAGATCACGCACCAACTTGAAGAACAAACGAAATATACAATTCATTTATGCTGTGGTCTTGTTGGTTTAATGAGACATCTTCAAAGACTGTGTTTGTTTCGTGAAGTTTTTCTCTTCGAGGTTTCACAGGAAACTCAATCTCCCTGCCTACGCGCGGGGGCGGCACACATAGCAATCGTTAAAGGTGTCAAACTCCATTTCCACTACCTCAGCAGGACACAGCACAGTCTCGACATCTAGGATCAATGCGCTGCTTTTCCTGGCCATCTGGGCTGAAGAGACATTACCCGCAGTATAGTATGGTGGTACTGTGTCAACATGGCGTACCATTTGTTTGAATGGTTTAACATTGGCTCCATGTACATGTATTGTGTATTATATATATATATATAATTATATGTATATATATATATACATATTATGCTCATGAGTACAACAAAAACACATACACACTTAAAGAAACACTGTTTTTTGAGGGGGGATGCTGAATTTCACCTACTATGACCCACCTATTTCTGTGCCCTCTCGAACTAACTGTGGGCGTCTGTCCTGGTTCTGATTGTGCTATTTGAATCCATTTGATGTTTAGTTGTATCCCAATTTCAGTTGGTTGAGGCGCTCCAGAGCCCTGAAACATCAACGCGGTCACTCCATGTTTGCACCATACCAATCATTGTCCTATTGTGAACATCTCCTCTTCGCTTGGTAGCATCACCCAATTTATGTTTCTTCAAACCATTCATTGTTGGTTAAACATCCCTATGCTTAAGCCCCCAGCAGGCCCTGCCTCGACTTCAAAGCCTGCTTCTTGCAGCATAGAAAGTGCTTTCTGCCGACCCCACATCATTCCTGAGCTGCTACAGGTTGCACCTCATGTCTTTGAGGTTAAGGCCACTGGACACCAAGCTGGCAAACAAATCACTGGCTGGAGCAACCTATAGAGAAGGAAGTGCAGAACTGGAATGCAATACAGGAGTCCTTTCAGAAAGTCATATAGATTCATATGGCCTCATGTGGCCATATAATATAGCTTCCAAATGCACTGTCTTTCATATCGCCTTGCAGCCGTTTGCAAAATGGTTTTCAAATGTTTTCAATGCATCCGGGAGTCCAAGACCAGGACCCCCATCGTTCATCCCCTGCGGCATGCAGTGCATCCTTAGCTCGCAAGGACTGCAAGAGGACATGTTTAAGAAACCACTCACAATTGAACCAGAAATGGGTGGTGTAAACCGTCCCGAAATGAGAAATCCATTGCTGGGTTAATCACTTTATATTCATATAATGTATCAGAGTATCTGACCCTGACAGAATCTGTGAAAACAGGTTCAATATTCTCATGGTATCATTTGTTTTCACCTTGTGATTCACCTTTTGTCATAAGAGTCCAAACCATGAAATCAAACAATCAGCTTTGCGGTTGTGTATGAACCATGTAATGTTTCCAGTGCCCGAATCATGTTTAGAACTTCTACAAATCTTCACCAGGTTACGGGAACACCGACACGTGACTCACATGGACTTCCGCGGCGAGTTGCAAAGAGACGGTGTAGAGGAAAGGCGCCATGGGGTGCCCCAAGTTTTTCGCAACACCTGCGGGACCACCCCCGTGAGGTCTACCCTGGTACAGCAAGCATTAAATATAGGACAAACTACATGGATGGTTTGTGAAGGTTGTATAATTTTGGGAGCACATCATATATAATTATATTATATACACATAATATCATAATACAATATGATAGTTCATGATATACACAAATTGTTTTTCATATTATACATGCAAACGTGTGTTATCCGGCGTGGCGCCGGCCTGTCTCTGCCCGAATGTCCACCATCACGAAGATACCATCTGCCTAGAGCGTCGTGGAAATGGCACAAAAACATGTTGGGTACCTTCGGTAATTCAGTTTAGCTATGGAAAATGGCACATTCTCAATATTTATAGCTGATCTCCCTTTGAAAAAATTGTGATTTTCCATAGCTATGTTAAATTAACAGAGGGAATACAGAGGGAATTGAAAGACCCTCAAGTCCACAGATTTCAGCACCCAATTTGAAGCCGTCACTTCAGGGCTCACTGCAATTCCCAAGCAAGGCGGCTGGATATGATACATATCCCCAATCAACCAGGTATGGTGCAAAAGACCTGCATTTGCCCAAAAACATCATCAGTTTCTGCAGGTACTGTCAATATACCTTGGGCCATAGTCACCACCAGCATCAGAGAAACTATTTTCCCCTGCGCACGATATTATATATATATATATACACAGCAACCCCCACTACAGTATCCAGGCTTCTTGGGGGATCATCCAAAACATCGCCTGTTGATCGTTAACAAATGTCCTACGTCCGATGGATTTCTACCTGTTTGCATACCCATTTTTTAATGAGGGGGGGGCACAGAAAATGCCGAGTCATTGAGTGGCCTAAAATTGTTGAGGGGGGGCCACACTAATCAGAGCCTAACATTATACATCATTGCGTGTTTGTGTGTATGTGTATATACGTGTATATATATATATATATATACCATCTGGTTATTTAACATAGCCATGGAAAATGGCCCATTTATAGATGATTTTCCCATTAAAACCTCCATTTATAAGGGATTTTCCATGGCTATGTTAAATAACCAGAGGGTATATATATATATATATAAATGTATCCATTCGTATACCCTTCATGGATGCTAAAAGGCTATGAATCCATCTCCCCAAAAACCGCCTTCAGGACCTTCCGGATCTCTTGCAGCGTGGCGTCGGGCCTGGACAAACACATGTCATTTCAGACCCATGTACACCAATTGAGTATCAAATATCATGATTATTGTGCAATATCATATGTCATAATTATCATATGTCATATCATATGTCCTATCATATGTCATATCATATGTCATATCATACGTCATAATTATCATATGTCATATCATATGTCCTATCATATGTCATATCATATGTCATATCATATGTCATAATTATCATATGTCATATCATATGTCCTATCATATGTCATATCATATGTCATATCATATGTCATAATTATCATATGTCATATCATATGTCCTATCATATGTCATATCATATGTCATATCATATGTCATAATTATCATATGTCATATCATATGTCCTATCATATGTCATATCATATGATATCATATGATATCATATAACTCATATGACTCAAAGGATCCAACAGCCCTCATGCCGCATATAGCTGCACCTGGTGAGGTCGTGGATCACATCAAAGCTGGTGACCTGACCGCGCAGCTCTGCGGGGATGTGTCCTGTACTACTGCTATACTACTATTGGAATTGCATACAGTGCATTACATTTTTTCAAATTTCATATTATTATATGATATATATGTCTATATCACTATAGTCTAAAGTATTAGTACATAACAAGTGTAATATTACCTCTATGATGTAGTATTATGCAATATTGTGTATGGTATCATACCAGATCTTCAAAGTGACATCTATGAGTACTAGAATACTTGGAATCAACAATATTGTCTGCATGTACTGCAAAATATGTACTGACTTGGACTGTATTGTATGTAGTGTAACGTATGTCAATGTATAGGTTGTTTGACCCGGATACCCTGCATTTCACATCCTGAACATGTTGGAGAAAAGTTACAGGAGCAACATGAGCAGAGCCTGAAACCACTGCTGTCATATCCTGATACTCGTTGGTTCAGACAAGGATTCCCAAAAAAGATCAGGCTTTTGAACATGACATTTCTCCATTGGGGCTGGTGATCATTCCTGTTCAAATCATGGAGTATACTGTGAAGTCGACCCCGTACTACCAACGAGTAATTTACCACTATTTTTAAAAAGTTGAATAATTTCGTAGGATGTTTCATATTCATCCATACTCTATCTTTGTGGTGCTTGCTAAAAATGCATAAAAAAATACCAGCCTCAAATCCAACAAATCATCCAGCATCCATCACCCAACTCCACCCCTTGGCTCACCAAATCGAAGCGATTCATCAACTCCGGCCGTGCAAAGGCAGAGGCATCGCCACCTGAACGCTGGTGGCAAGCCCCTCGGCTCGAACTATGGATGGTTGTAGACACCCATTGTGGTTGGTTAAATTACCAATGTAAACCATACACATAAATGGTTCACCAGTATAATCATTCAATAATCGTTCAATGTTTGGTTGGTATGCAGTGATTTTGAGCAATATAAACCGCACATGATCTTCCCATCGTCAAATCCATAGTTGTGCTGGTTAATCATCCATGTTTCATGGTTAGATCTGCCCCGTCTCATGGACCTCCCATCCTCGTTGATGCGGACACCCATTACCCCAAATAACGGTTAAATCATTGTGTTTAATGGTTAACCCACATTTTAGCTGCATGGTTCATTCTCCAGGTTTGATGGTTAGATCATTATTAGTGAATCTGCGTGAAATATCCCTATTGAACCTCTATTTATGGTTGGATAAATCACCATGTTCATCCATTTTCTGACATTTTGTCCTGGATCTCCCTCCCCATCGGCAAGGCACGCAAGAAGTGAACGTTTCGCAGCTGTCGCTCGTTGGCGCGCCGCTGAGCCCCTTGGATCGAAGGTTCAAAGGCGTCCAGCCTCGGGTGAGGCCCCAGGGCAGCTATGGATCACCAACAAATTGGTTGGTTGATATCAAAGTTTTAATGATTTTTAATGATTTTTAATGATGTTTAATGATTTTTAATGATTTTTAATGGGATCTAAATGGATTTCAAAAATCCTGGGTGGTGAACCATACCCCCTATTGATATGAGCCTATTGATCTGTGCGTTTGGTCCAAAAAATGGGATGATGATGAACCAGTGGATCGAATGATTCAATGCTGTCCAGTTTTAGTATGTTTTAGTCAATAATTTTGAGACATAGCCATGTGAAGGGTACAATCAAGCAACATATTGGGTGCTGGGGGCTAGGAAACACTGTACTGGCATCCTACTGGAATCACTGGTAAAATGATGCGAAATCGAGGCATGTTGCATCAGAAAAACAGGGGGTTCACTCACAGTTCTGCCGAGGTACTTAGTGACCCGGCCCCTATCACCAGCACCCAGGACCAATCGTATGGATAAAGTTAACATCCATTCAGCTCAGAGAACATCCTACGTGTTAGCAACTGCAAGCCCAGAAGAAGGAGACATCTTTCCACTTATGGTGGGCACTTCCCAGAAAGTGATCAAATGTGATCAAGGACCATGATCTTTCCACCATTTTTCACCTGGGAAGTTGTTTTTTTCCATTGTCACTTCATGTCACTTCCTACTCACCGTATGCTGCTGAAGGTCCCATGCACCTGAACCTTCGGGAAGCGTTCGGCAATCCTGGGCGTAACTTCACTGGACCTGCTAGGACTATGGTTACCACCAAGTGGATACCAAGTGGAATGGCAATAAATCCAACTTAGTACTTCCAGAATAATTTGTATAACGACACTCTTTGGATATTTTGAGGTCATCAGTGACATCAAGCTGCAATGCAGTTGGCACATCCATCGACACGGCCCCCTCATTGCGATCCGTTCCTCTAAACACGTGTGGGTGACCAAACATCAGCGTGTTGCATATTCATACTACCTGCACCGTCTATATTTGGATTATATAGCAAAGATATACGCAAAAAATAAATCACAGTATCATCATATTGTGTGTATTTTCACAGATACATACAAATACATACAAATACTATAGCATACCCTCTGGTAAACATACAAAAAACTATGGAAAATCACCATTTTTAAGGGGTAAATCCACTATTTCTATGGCCATTTTCAATAGCTATGTTAGTTTACCAGAGGGCCATTTATAGTGGATTTTCCCATTAAAAAAGGTGATTTTCCATAGTTATGTTAGTTTACCAGAGGGTATAGCATAGTTCATCCTCCTTTTGGTCCCAGGTCCCAGGCAATACGTACGGTACCGTACGTTGGTCATCCCCCAGCCGAGCCGCAAGCACGCCGCTGTTCCTTCGCCACAGCCCACGTCTAGGACTTCAGCCTAGGAACCATGGTTTTAGCCCATTCAAGAATGGGATATGCCCAGGAATCCGGCACGCCACTTATTCATATTGATATAAACTGATATCGTTGTTTCATGCTTTTTTCTCCCAACTGTTTGTGTTTTTGTTGACTCAATCTCCCCACTCTTGCGGGTCAAACGCGGTGAACGCCCCATATTTTTTGTTCTCCCCATGCACTCGTTGGCGTCTTAGCATCACATGCTGTCCCAGCATCTCCGCCGGCGTCGAGCTTCGACACCATGGAGCCTCCTGATTAAGGCATTAAGGGAAAGATGGTACAGGAATTCAATCTGGGTGGTTTCAGCCCATGATTTTAGTGGGGTGGAATAGCGATCCCAATGGGTGTGTGAAGGATATTCTACTACCATCAACATCAATCATCGGTAGTTGGGAATCAGCATTCCAATTCCTAAGTCAGAATGGAGATGTACTAGAAACGCAGCTACGGAGCAGCCACAGTTGCAGATACTTGGATGACCATCCAATGAATCAATGGGACTGGGTGATAACCCTGGTGATAGTGTATCGACGGCTAGTGGAGAAGCCCTCAATATGACGTGAAAATATGGTCACGGTGGTAGTTCTTGGGGTGCCTTCCTGCCTGCTAATCTTGCATGGATCATATTGAGAGTGGAAATGTGCACCCCCTGCTGTGCTTGCCATCCAATGACATGAGCGCATGCCTGAACTGTCCTCGATGGGCAGCTACTGAAGAAACACGTCACACCTTTTCTCCGCAATGTGGTCCCAGCGGCTGTGGGTCCTCCAAGTAGGGGGAGTAGCTTGGAAATCAGCTGCTTCTCGTGTTTTTCATCAGCCAGTTTTCCTGAGAAGCTTCGGATTCGGAAACGAAGCAGTCAAACAATGACCAAAAAAAATGTTGGTACCGGTAGTTCCAACCCATTTGAAAACATGACCTAATCATCCAAGGTGAAGCTGAAATAAACAGACAATACTTGAAAGTTGAAACATGTTGAAACATGTATATTAACTTCAGCCAGTTCAACGGAATGTATGACCCAACAATGTTGTCTCAACGCAGTATGATACTCGCAAAGCTGATACCCTCTGGTAATTTAACGTAGCTATTGAAAATGGCCATTAATATTGGATTTTCCCATTAAAAATGGTGATTTTCCATAGCTATCTTAGTCATAACCAGAGGCTATGTGAGCTATTCTTATAGCCAAGCCTCCCATCCAAGCACCGAAGGATCCGTAGCATCCCGGGGGCACCCCGCCGCCCGTGGAGGCGGCTGAGACCACCTGTGTTACCACATGTTACCACAATCTTCAGCATTCCAGTGACAAGTATAGACCCACAAAAAAGAAATCGCACTATAGAAACCTTGAAGAAAATGGGGGAACACATTATTTCTACATATTTACACCATCCTGGAAACCACTTGTCTACACTTTTTTTCGGGGGCGCTATATACACTTCACCCACACCAATCGATGCCTCGTCAAAGGCGCAGCGGGTCAGTAGGGGCAACTCCTCAAACCATGGATCCACATGGAGCAGCCGGTTTTGGGAAATCTGAATCCTCAATGTCTTTTCCAACAACCTTTCAACCCAAAGAGACCCAACATCTAAACGGGATGATCTGAAACCGGTCAACACCACGGAACCGATGGCAGGGGGTCCAGAATTCACAGCCGTGCCCCACCTCGAAGTACAAACCCATGCCATCCAGGGCCTTGGGCACTATGAAATCACAACAAACATGTTTAAAACACAATTACAATGCATAACCATGCATAACCATGCATAACCATGGTACCCTGTTGACCCTAGCTGGTTACCATGGATGTTCATCCCTCCCAAATGTCATGGTCACCATAGGTTTCATAACATGTTTGATCCATCCCAAAAAATATCGAAACGTACCTATCAATATATCAACAGAAAGAACAAACATGCCAAAACACATAGAACCCCAAAAGGATACAACAGTAAAGTCCTACTAAAACAGAGATATATTACATTTCCATACATGTCCATCTTCTTGGGGGTTACTATATCCTAAAACTCTCGAAGAATCCAAGCTTTTCCCAACCCTCCGGGGATTTTGGTCGGGTCGGGCTCCAAAATTTGAGTTCCACACTGAGCTGGTCTCAGCGGAGAGGCTGTACTTTGCCGGCTGCTCCTGGGTGGAACAACAACTTGTGAAACACGGGATGGTTTCTTGGAAGCACTAGAAATGTTACAAAACCCATAGGATCCATGTATGGTATATATGCTAACATTGGGGGTATATATACCATACATGGATCCTATGGGAAATGGTTGTTCTTGTTGCTTCATCAAAATCCGCTGTCTTTCATCTGTTTCTTCTCTCATTCCTTCTCCATTTCCAACGTTTGCTATTAAACACATGTGTTCAATTTCTTTGAACATAGGCTACTCATGGTTACTCCATTCTATTCCATGGTTTTGGAAACCATGGAAGGTACCCTCTGGTAATTTAACATAGCTATTGAAAATGGCTATTTATAGTGGATTTACCCATTAAAGATGGTGATTTTCCATAGTTATGTTAGTTTACCAGAGGGTATGTTTTGTCATTTTCCCATATTTTCCCTATACCTTCGTTACCTTCGTTAGGCGATTGTAGGCAGCCTCCGTGAGGATGGCCACTTTGCCACAGACCAGGACGGCAAGGATCTCCTGGCGCCATTGAGATTTTGATGGGCGCCATGGGGAATCGTTACAACATGTTACAACAGAAAGAGTGGGGGAATCTATTTAGATTATTTTAGATGATCAATGGATATCAATGGATATCAATGGCAATTAGTACTTAATCACCATTTTTAATCCCACCTTGTGGCTATCCTTTACGGTTTGAACCCTGGAAACCATGGATTTTCTTCGCCGTCAAAAAATAGATGCAGGTGTCCCTGCAAGTTTTACTTGACACATCCTGGGACAATCGTTTGGAAATGTTTGGAATGGTGGAATTGGACACATGTCGATGATGAAATCATGATGAACTTGTTATAAGATGTTATAAGCTTTAATGTATCAAATGAAACTGATCATATAAAACAATCGTGTACATGGGCAACTCGCAAGGTTCTTTATACCAAATCAGAAATTAACAAATGATGACGTGAATGTATATATTAATAAACATGCACATATCAACGTTTACCGTGAGGTCAGCCAGCGCGACCGCTATACATATGGCCTTCTTATTGGAGCATGGACACTGGAAACCAAGCATTTGTAACTCCTTTGTATATTGATGTACAATATATATATATATACTGGTTGGTGGTTTCAAACCCTCTGAAAAATAATAGTCAGTTGGGAGTATTATTCCCAATATATGGAAAAATAAATGTTCCAAACCACCAACCAGTAATATATATATATATTGTGAAAGAATGGGTGGTTGAACCATTCACTGGACTCACCACTCTTTGCTGATCAAGCAGTGGGAAGTTGGGACATACCTCTACTATGGGTCAAAATTAAGGTAGTTTACCTTTTGTTCTCAGCAAAAATAGCGAAATAGCTGGATGTTCATCCTCAAACAATCCCCAAATCATGATTTTTCCACATCCCATTTCATCCCTCAAATATCCCCAAATAGTGATTTAAATCATGATTTTTCATGTGTTGACCCATCCGAGAAAAACAGAGATTCATGGCATCGATGCATCGCGTTGCCGCGCCGGGGTCCTCCACATATCTGGGATGCAATTTGGACACTTTGGCAATGTTCTCCACGGTCGATGGCTCCTGCATGGCTCATCACTTGCACGGCTGTTGAAGAGGGGTTAACATGGTTTACCCCTAAAAATTATTAAAAATTGTGGTAAAGCCAATAAAAACAATCCAGATGGGAGGTTATGAACAGTAATTATATCGTCATAGTAAACCACCACTTTTGATGGTTAAACAATGTTAAACACCCCATAATTCAATCTCGAATTCCCATTATGATAATTATCCCAGTCTACCCCATTGTACCATCAATTTTGATGCATCCCCCATTATACCCTTACAAGTAGCAACCACCTCCCCAGGCACCGCGCTACTGCGCCAAGCCTGACTCAGTGCCCGCAGCAGCCCCGTGCGCGACGCCACGCCCAGCGCCAGTGCTACCGCGGAGCCGTTCAGCAACTCCGTGACGCGCGCAGCCATGGGGAACCCGTTGCGGGGGAACGGTTGGGGGGAACTGTTGCGGGAAGCCTTGGGGGAAATTTGGGACTTTTTGGACATCAAAATATGCCGAAAATGGATCAGAATGATGGGATTTAGCAGGATTACAACAGATGTATACCGTGATTTTCACAGCTGAGACACTCAGTAAGTAATGATATGAACTGATAAAATAGGACATCAACCGTGGACGTTTGACAACCGATATAGTCCTCTGAAATCTGTGGGTTGGGTTCATATGATTATGATCATCTATGATCTGGGAGCTATGCCAGAGTACCGTAAAATTTAGATTCACTGGTTGCTTGGATTTGGATTCAGCCATCTGAAGTACGAATTGGTCCGGAGAAGTTTTGCATTGTGGAGTTGCTCGATGATTTTCTGATAAACTTGATGTGTTCATTTCATCTAAGTTTCCATAGGGATTTGATGCTCTCAGCACTGCGAGGAAGGTGACAATGTCATCTATGTCGTTTCAGGCTTTCAATTTGTCCACATGGCACGCCGTGCTGTGCCAATCCCGTCGGGAGACATCCCAAACAACATGGGAGCTGCCTCATTGCAGGCTGATCATATGCAGGTGTAACCCCCAAAATAGGAAAAGGCGTCACAAATTTGGTCATCTTAGCTATGTGTACGTTATGTAAATACTAAAGCATCCAATGTTGGGGTCAATCAATGCAGAAACTTGATCCAATCCCATACCCTCCAACCCCTGGTGGATATGGATAAAAAGGGGTGCCCAACAAGAATCCTGCTTGATCCTGAATATGACCAGTCAGTTTGTTCATCTGCTGTTTTCTTTGGCTTCGACTGTTGGATACATACCCCAAATTCCTCGTCTGCTCTTGCTCATATTCCCATCCCCAACGCTGCTTGATCAAATCCCAGTGTTGGTTGTTAAAATCCTCTCAAAATGATATCAAAAGCATTCAAATGCCAAGTCTTTTCTGATGGTTCCATCTAGTTCAACCATGATCTCAATCACAATCACTAGATCCTCCAATATGATCCTCGTTCAACCCCCCCTGGAAAAAATAATGACGTGTCATATTCAAAATATTTTAAGGTACTGTACTCCTGAACAATATCCTTAAAAATCTTAAGGATCAATTCTGATTTTTCCCCCAGTTCAACCCGTGACCCCGTGGTCACTTGGACCAAGCGTCGTGCCCGTTGCCACAAAACTGCCGAGCCCAGCGCTGGCAGCACAGAGGCTTCCAGGGAGATCCCGGCCTTGGATCTGGGGATTTTTTGTGGGGAGATCCATTTCGGTATTTTTAAGATGTTAAACGTATGGTAGTATTGTGTATGATCATATCAATTATAAGATATAATGATTAATTAATATAATGATTAATATGCAATGTATATTATATGAATATACTATTACAACCCGGATTTTGCTCCATCTTTAACGTCAAGGGAGTGAGTTTTGAGGAAATTATTAAACGGGAAACCAGTAATTTATCCCATCCGAATTTGCTGGGATGTCCTGCAACTATGTTCTGCATCCAATTCCAGGATAACCTCGATAATTTTCCTGGGTTTACTGAACATGATGTTTGGTTTTCAGAGTATGTATATGGGACAAACTATGAGAAAGTAATCTATGTTTCAGTTGTCCCGTAAGCAAATCCAAGTACTGGGGTGAATCTTGATGAAACCACTTAATCGGAGAATTAACGAGTCTTAGAACCTTGATCAGCCAAGATTATGATCAGTTCAACCAGAATGGAGGTCAAATTGTGTGGGTGGTTCTATCCCCCAACAGATTCTCAAAGCAGCCTAATAAACTTTGTCACACTGGGTGAGTTTGTGAGACAAGTTGCAGAAAAGCCATAGCTGCTTACTTCAAATATCAGGGGGTCCTGCAATTGTTCCCTAAGAATTCCGGGACATCAGACATCCAAGACCAAGGATTGGGTTTCATATGGTTTCATTGTTATTGATTGTTACCATTTCCCCAGAAATATACAACATATATCAACATATTACAAAATATAGGTGATGAATCCCATTCTCAGTTCAAGTAGCATCACCATCTTTTCCCCATCTATTCTTGTTTGCTTGTAGAATCCACATTCTTAGTGATTGAATGCCATGCTTTTGGCGCTTGAATGAAACGATCATCAGCCGAACGCTGAGCTTCCTCACAGCCATGTGTGGCAGAAATGTTCTAGCCAACCACTTCAACTCGGTACCTAGCCGGATTCTGGGTGACAAGCCTTCAGAATAATATTCTCTGCCTAGGTGAAAGTACCTCAACTTCAAATTTTGCTGGCAAACCATCCAAAAACTGCCTGGCATCATCTGAAACTAGGACCCTCAAATCATCTATGTATGTCTATATCATCACATTCCCCAATTTAACAGAAAACAAGTGAATTGGAATACACATTTGGTGTATACCCAATTCTTGAACAATAAACATAATACGAAAAAAAACGTCAGATAAACTTCACCCAAAAAACTCACAACATCCAGCACTTGTTGTACCGACCTTCAGCAGCCCGCAGCAAGGCGCCCAGTTTGGCGGTCTTGGCACGTTCCACGCCCTGGCCACTGAGCTCCGACAGCGCCAGCAGCGCCTTGCGCACTGAGCCCGCCTAGGAAAGTGGACGCGGGAAAATCGGTCTTGGGGGGTTCACAACAACATTGTTTGATGTTTGATGCTGTTTTTATGCTTGATTTCATCAACTTAACTCTCTGATTTTGGGTGTAAATCATGGTAAATCCACTTTTTGGGTGTACCCTCTGGTTATGACTAACATAGCTATTGAAAATGGCCCAGTCGAAATAGTGGATTTTCCCATTAAAAATGGTGGATCTTTCCATAGCTATGGTTGATTTTGACGGCAGATCCGAGTAGATCACCTCTCCACCACCCACCACCGAAACGCACGGAAATGGCCAGGTGCCCACACCGTCAACGGCGCAGGCTTCTTCAGGAGCTTCTGACGGCCGCCAGCATCGCGAAGGGCCAAAGCCACCTGGTGCTTGTAAACGGAGGATTCAACCAAACAAAAGAGAGGTATAATATGCTATAAATTGCTATAGTATGGTACTCAACATGCTATAATATGCCATAAGTTGGTATAATAGGTGGGAGATGGTAAGATTATGATGGATTGAAGATTCAATTGGTTTTTTGAATAGGCTAGATGAATAGAAAGATGATGAAAGATGTATGACGACTTAGATTTATAGATAGCTAGCTAGAGCGATAGATTTGATTTAAAGTTAGACTAGAGTAGAGTAGGTCAAATTAGATTATATAGATGGGTTTTGATGTTGATTGAAAAATGTGGATGAATAGGATGGATTAGAATTGATTTGATTTGGATTCTGAATTTGGTTTTGGATTTACACTAGCTTGGAAAGATAGGTCGGCAAGAGACACATACGAACAAACACAATTGATATTTCTCACCGTCAAACCAAAGTTGGTGGATGAGGCCACTGTGCTACTGTAATATGGTTTATTTTTAAACTATGGCAGTGTTTGACACAAACATACAATGTTTGGATTGAGCTGACAAAGTGAGGTTGTATGCAAACTTCCCAGCAGAACTGGCGATATCTGGCGATATACCCCGCATGAATGGAGATACCGCACTATACGTCTAAAAACTAAAAATCAAGGTATATACCAAGGTGACTTTACATCCAGAAAAAGGATCTCCCAAGGGTGAACTAATCATGAGAAATCCATCTCATGGCGGTCTGATGCTGACCTGAAACCATGCTTTGAAGGACGATCACACGCTGAATATGTTGTCATTTTGCCAGCACAACAAACAACTGGGTTATGCACACAGCCTTTGGGATGTCCCTCTAAATCACCCCACGCCTCGCCAGTGTCATGCAGTTCGTGATACAAACCTCGGCAATGTCATGGCCAGTCCCGAGCCCATGACGCAAACAGGGCGAGTTGATAATCCCATTTTGATGCGGGGAAACAATATGTTTTAGGGGAATGCTGTTGCACTGTCATCTCATGCCAAGTGTCTCCAAACTGAAGGGGTAGAAGAATGAAATCCGACCTCGACTGCTTGCGTCAATGCCTGAGCCCATGACGATTCATTTCTGCCTGGCAAACGGACACGAGACATACTTTGTGAGCTACCACCGAGGCAAACTAAAACTGTCTTATACTATCTTAGACAGCTTGGTTGCATTATTGAATTCTATTGAATTCAAAAGGAACAAGCCATACCGGTCAACGTTTACATTTTGCTATGGAAAGATCCACTATTTTTCATGGGTAAATCGGTAAATCCACGAACTTTCTATCTATTTCTATGGTGATTTTCCATATGCTCCATGGGTATATGCTACCCATATCCGCAGCCACCTTGGTGGATCCGGTGGCTTCCAGCAGGGAGGCCTGGCGACAACCGTGGCTTTTCTTTCGAGAAATTGGTGGCTAAATTTATAGTTCTGAAATGTTAATAAAAAATTATGAAATGTGATTAAATCCTATAGACCTCACTGTATGATTCTCAACAGTTTTGCCCCAAAATCGTTGGATTTCAGCATAACACATGGAGTTTATATGCAGAAATGATTTCACAGCTTCACAGCCATGATTAAATAGCAACAATGGGTCGCCCAGTGGGATGATGGACCAAAAACACCCATGGTATCACGCTACCAGGGGTTCAAACGTTCAAACCCCAGCGGAACATACTGCCTCGAGGCATCCGCAAGACAATTTTGGGTAATTCATGTAACATAGCCATGATTTGCCTATTAAGACATGTCCATCTTCGGTGGCTATGTTAAATTGCGAAATGGTAAGTGTCAAGAACTAAGCCATGAGATCGCTGACAAAAATCCTCTGCCGCCGGGCTTCAACATGCAGTGCGGCTGCTTTTGTGATGCTCGAATTGGGCTGGCTGTCAATTCGGCCAAGTTTAAAATGGTAGTTAAGTTACCCTCTGGTAAACTAACATAGCTATTGAAAATGGCCATTTATAGTGGATTTTCCCATTAAAAATGGTGATTGTCCATAGTTATGTTAGTTTACCAGAGGGTAATGAACAATTCCAATTTGAAAGCCAGGCAGTTAACTTGCTTATGACATTATCAAGCAATTCAAACATTAAGTGTTGCTAACATTCCCGATTGTGTTCGATGAATATCAATACGTCCACTTTAAATATTCTGCACCTGGAAGCTTGAGCGTAGCCCAAAATTCGATGGTTCATCATACGCGTCCTCAGTAAAATGTCCATATTTTGAGGGTAAAGTCCACCATTATACCCATAATGTCAACCCTGGATTAACAAACCATGGTTTATTATGGTTTATCCAGGTAGGGAGGGTACTACCCCAATAGCCATAATCTATCATAATCTAAAAGACTTAAGTGATACATCAGCTGCTTATAGCTGCTTGGTGTTAGTCATCCACTGGGCGGCTCCCTGGGGCTCAGCTCACCGTGATGGACTTGTGCGGAATGCTCAAAGGCTTCCCCTCGGCCCAATCTGGACGGAGCCTGGCAGGGAAGCCGGCCTTCAGCCTGGACAACTGGTGCTGACTCAATGGATTGATTGAAGGGAAAATCTATGGGAAACCATGGCTTTTTAGGCCCAAGTATAAGGGGGCTTCCGTGAACCCAATTCTAGGGCGCTTAATATCTTGATCATATTTTGCTATCACTACTTGTGTTGGCTGCGTTCACATGTTCGCGCGTGACGGATGTTGTCGCTTGTTTTGGTTGGGGTCCCATTGTTGTTAGGTTCATACTATCTTGTGTAGTAGATATACTTGGATTCTTGGCGATATTTGGATTCTTGGCGATATAACCCCCAACTTCCGCTCGTGTCTCTTAATTTGACCTATTAGTTGATCCATGTTTTTCACCCCGCAAGAATTGTGGTGTACGCCCCCCAAATCGGTAGAACCGTGACAAAATTTTCTCCCCTTTTTTGAATCCTTCGTGGTTCAGCGCCCTGCCTGTGGCCACCGGATTGTGCATCTTTGGCGGGTGCAAAGAGGTAGCAGGAAGCCGCCACCTGGCGATCCCTTGTCCAAATGTGTTTTTTTTTCCTGTAAGACACTGGGCCCACAGCACTGAACAAATAAATGTAGTGTAGAATATCAATATATATATATATATACGTATATATATCCAAACATTTGTATATCTAAGAATCATACATACGTATATAATACGTATATTTAGTATATATGATATATGCATAATATTAATAATATAAATATATATATATATAAGAAATCCATGGAAATCCCATCATCCACCCGAAAATGCTTGGTTTTGAGCTCGGCAAAGCCTTTCTTTCGTGGAACATCACCATGGATTTCGGCCTCCTCCACAGAGGCTGACATGGCGAGCAAAGCGCGGAAGGCATTCGTCAATATGGTGTCCTGCACGTTTCAGTGTGAACTGTTTGCTGTTTGCTTGGTAAAAATGAATCCAATAAATCTGAAGGATCTTGCTGATCGTTGGTATGTGGTGTTGATGAAGTGTCATTTCAATAAGTTCAATATATTTCAATATGTTTCAATATGTTTTGATATGCTTTGATTATTTCATACAACAGCTCATATAAATCCAGAGTGAAACCATCATGACAGCGCATCAAAATGACAGCCGATGCTCGACCTGAACTCCCACCGATGGTGGATTTGTGGATCTACACCACTAACGGTCACTACCGGCCCAAGTTTTGATAGGATTCACTGATTAACACTGATCAACCTTGATATCAAGCACTATCAACCAACCCAATTCTATCCAAGAATCACCCCTTCACCAGCACCACTTCAAATAACAAACTGCAGCTTCCATCCTTGCTCAAACGGCTCTTTGTGGCTTCCAAGGCCTGAAGTATAGCCATCTCTCAAGGGTGGCATCAACCCATCGGAAAAAAACTTGGGGAAGTGGGTCTTCACCTAGACCTTCGAGTCACTAGAGATAGTTGGAGGTTGACCCAAACAGGGACGCTTCACACCAGAAAGTAGTGGAAACCATCAAGAAGCCGTCACTGGGGATCCTGTTTTTCAGACAACTGGCAATGGCGGTAAAAATGCACCCAAACCTGGAATCGAGGATGCAATCAAGAATCTTGGGGTCAAATCTAAATCTAGTTGTGTCTCAATATTGGGGATGCCCCATTCAATAGCAAATTTGATGCGAACATATGCAAAACATATTGAACATCGGTGCAACCCTGACGTTGATCCGCGCCGGAATTGCGCAAGGGTTGCGTATTTCTGAAATGCCATATCGGTGGACTTTCAATATAGATGTATATGTGATCCATGATCCATGATCCATGATCCATGATCCAAGATCCATGATCCATATTCATGATTCATGATTCACGATCATGATCATCATCATCATCATCATCATCATCATCATCATCATCATCCTCATTGTCATTGTGATCATCATTGTCATCATCATCATCATCATCATCATCATCATGATCATCATCACCATCATCATCAGCAGCAGCATCATCATCCCTTCTGAAGATAAGTTGATGCTATTATCAGATTCAGCATATTTGTCACAGTGGGTGGAGGATTTGTTGATCCCTTATGAAGATAAGTTGATGTGATTACACCATTCAACATATTTGTCATAGGGGCTGGCGGATTTATGACCCCTCATGAATATAATACCATATAATACCTATATATATATATAACTTGATGGTATTACCCCATTCCACATGAGTTGACACTGGTGGTGGTGATGATGATGATGATGATGATGTTGATGTTAAGTGTGGAGCAACGTACGGGTTGGACGGAGCAAGTAAAATATATCTGTACCTAATCTTGGGAAAAACCCATTGCCTACCCATTGTTTACTGGGTTCACCCCCGAAAAAAAACTGGGCCATCCAACATCCAAAGCCACTGCAAGAACTCGGTAAGGCACGCCCTTCACAGCAGGAAGTCCTGCTGCAGGCGCAGCGGCGCTGCATCTGCAAACAGCAGGAAAAGTATCTACCTTGTAGTGGAAAGTGACCACCACAGAGGTTGGCAAATGACAACATGCAAACCTGTCCCTGTGTGTGCATGTGTGTACGTTCGTGTGGTTGATGCACTTACATCCTTGTCCGATTGTACGAAAGTATCCAAACCAAAAGCAAATTTGTAAATTTGTATGGCACCTCGTCTCTTCTGAACAATTGATTTTGACTTGCACATTTACACATTCAAAATAGCCACAACAACAATTGTCTGAACACCACTTGCAAATAATCTTCCAAATACCCAAATACAATCTGACATAATATGACATCACATTATCATGCTGTTTGTTGTTACCCTCTGGTAAACTAACATAGCTATGGAAAATCACCATTTTTAATGGAAAAACTCACTATAGATGGGTCATTTTCAATAGCTATTTTGACATAACCAGAGGGTATATGTCATTATTCCACCACCCAATGAGCGCTTGTGGCTCAACCACCAGAGCAGCTGCTCAGCTCCTGCGGTGACCCGTTGATGGCTGAAGTTCTCGCAGGGCTTTTCCAACTCTTCGGTGGCCGTGGCACTCCAGGTGGCACCAGGCTGCGCCACGGACGTCGCCTGGAGCTATGACCGTGACATGTTGACACAATGTGTACTGGAAATCCACGTGGATGTTGGGTTGTATACATTATATATATATAATACAGTAGAATACTACAATATAATAAAATATAATACAATTAAATAAATATATATATATACGTATATATATAATTATATATATATACATATGATATCCAAAGTGCAATATAGTGACAATGACAAGAGAAAAGAACCTCACACCTCAAAATTCTCTTTGGTGCACAAACGCACATCTTCATCCCACCTGGTTAGCGACATCTGGCGGTGGTTCTGCTGGGGCCGGCAGCGGTGGCTCTTCACCTGCTTTCACTGATTCAATGGATTGGTGGAAACAACATGTCACTGAAAAACAACATGGTTGTTTTTGTAATTAACATGTTTTATTTTTTGTTAACCATTATAAAATCATTCTACATTGTACCTTTTCCATCAATCAATTTTGGGAGTGTTGCATGATCATCAAGTCATAGGCCAAAAAAAGCTACTGGAGAGGTCAGGTGCCCACTTTTCGATACCCAAAAACGTCTGTTATAGAATTACTCCAAAAATAGTCTTTGTTGTTTCCCTGATGGATTACATAGTAGGGTCCCTCATGGTAAGAAACCATTTTGTACTACAGTATCAATTGTTTTTTGCTCTCCAGCCTTTCCGTTTGTCAGTGCCCAACAGTTCTATCCACAATGTTCTTAAAAAGGTAACCAAAACCCATATCCCAGCTTCTGCTCTTGATATGGGTTGATATGGATATATTTTGATATTTGACCAACGCCCAACAACACACCCGTTGAGCTTCCCACTGGGCAGCGCCGCACTCGGCACGCTTGGGCCTGGGCCCTTCGGAGCTTTGCCGAAGAAGCCCGCGAGGCCGGTGGAGCGTTGGGAGCGTTGGGAGCCCTGGAGCTGCGTGGAAGGGAGCGTTGCTCCACATTTTTGAGTTGCCCATAGTTGTTAATATGGCTATGAGTCAAAACCCAGGCGCCCTAGGTACCCTAAAATAGCTGGCTAATGGATTGTTATTTGGAAATATGGTAACATTAGGTTTTGACCCATCCCCATATGTGAATTGATTGGTATTTTATAGCACTGTTCTTGTGAGAATAATACATAAATATTTGGCAAACATATAAAATATATATATATATATATTTATGCTGGGGACTCGCTGCCTCTTGGAATCGGCTGCATATTCATCATATTTCTGGGCGAAAGCAGTCGTTTGTTGCTTTTTGGTCCCTTGGGATTGCGATGGACTGTGAAATCTTGGCGCGGCACCAGCCACTAGGATGGGAAGTTGCGGATTATTCAGCAACTTGTGTGTTCCCCAGCCACAAAACATCCCAAAACATGTCGGTTCTACGCAACAAAACACAAAAGCCAGTACGAAAAACATGGAAAAACTCATGTCATATCATTGATATTAATTTGGATTATCGGATGATAAGGATGGATCAGACTCACATTAACTCACGATATAATCCGAATAGTTGGGCCATTTTGGGAGCCCCACTTCGCCTGTCCGGTGGCAACTGTCTTTGGCCGCTTCCTGCAGTGACACGGAAGCCAGGCAAAGGGTTGACACAGCTGTGGGGAAATGGATGGAAATGGTCGATTTATAGATGATTTACTGTGAAAAATGGTGATTTTCCATAGTTATGTTAAACTACTAGGGGTTAAAATATGCTGTAGTATTGTGTTAATTATTGGTTGGATTAATGTATTAGCATGGTTGAAAACAAACCATGTAGTGGTATTGGATTGTTGTATGTTTCACTTGTATCTCAAAATACTTCTTAAATTGTCCACAATTTGTATGTTTTTAACATGTTCTAACCATGCTCAGTAGCAAGTCAGATTTGTCAATTTGTCCCCACAGCCCACGTGGTCCTTATACCCCAAGTGACCCATGATTGGTGAAATCCAACATGTCAATCAATGCCCACCAAAAACACTGGGATTCTCCTGGGATTCTCCTAGATCGAACTGGGGGATATCCCTAAAAGTTGCAAGTGTTTAGATGTGTTTAGAAGTGTTTAGTGGAAACATGATGAATTTACAGATCGACCTCAGTGGATTTGTTTCTGAAAACTCGAAATGAACTTGTTTGACAACCCCAAGGGATCGCCTTGGCGGCTGCAGCTCCGCACCGCAGGCTTCGCAGTTTTCAAAGTCATCGCCTGGACGAGTTCAGTAGGGATGTAACACACAAACATTGAGCTATCCCGGGGTGGTACCCCCCAAATCATCCAAGTCATGAATGTATGATAATGTATCCCATAGGATCCATGTATGCCATATATGGTAACATTTACCATCAATATACCCCAAATGTTAGCATATATACCATACATGGATCCTATGGGTATGTGAATGTCCATGTGAGTATTGAAACCCATTTTTCAACCCATATGGTGACTTGGGAATCCCCCAGAAAGTGGGAATCGAGAAATGGAGGTGTGAAAAGTTTCAAGGGAGTTTTTGCAAGTCTGGGGTCATCCAGAAGATGTTGTGAATTCAACCATCAAACAACAAGGATTAGTGACCATCACGGCCATACCCGACTTTTAAAATGGGATAGTCCATGATAGTCCCCAGAATGGACGACTTGCTCTCCAGGGCGAGGAACCATTTGCCGCCATGGAAGCCCAGTAGTACCCTCTGGTAATTTAACATAACTATGGAAAATCACCATTTTTAATGGGAAAACTCACTATAAATGGCCATGTTCAATAGCTATGTTAAATTACCAGAGGGTAACTCCATTAGACAAAAGTATCATTTTCGACTTCTGCCAACTGTCCCATACACATTCCGCTGGCCCTTCCCTAGACCACGGAAAGGAGAAATGAAGCTCAGTCCTCAAACATGCAGCTGGTCGTCCTCCAATCATCCTGCCCATCTGGGGTTCCACACTAGTGCTAATCAATGTACATCTGGGACACGCCCGGTTGTTTTCTGGCTCCCCACCCTGCGCTGGTGCCGGCGGGGGCGGCCCGCCATCGCAGTCACCTGCGAGGCAGGATGGATCATTCTGGTGAAGTCGTTTGATGCCTATGAAACATTCCGAACTCTAGTTATGGAAACATGGTAAACCTTCAAAAATACTGCGCCTTGGCTGTTTAAAGCATGCGAAACGACTCATTTCGTTTTCTGAACCAGTCAGCATGGGTTTTCCCAATCTTGTGTTTTCATGCTTTCTGCTTCCAACCTTCCCAACCCCCCAGCGCAACGTTTCAAACACCTCCAAAAATCCAACTGAACCCAGTGGCCTGGAGAATCATCATCCAAATCGATACATGCGCTGCCCTTCAAGGACCTCTCACGCGCTGAGTGTCTGAAACAAGCTGCTGGCAATGAGGAATTTCCCACGCTTTGTTCGATGTGATTCGTGTGTATATATCCACCTCATGTTTTGTAGATCTACTGTTTATATAGTTATATGTGTACCTGTGTGTGTGTGTAACATATTGTAATGTGATACATATAGTCATACATATGTAATCAATTGTAGTCAACTACTCATTTTCCACACATGTGGATGCAACATTCAACCAACTTCATGTAACTCCGCAACTCATCTCCAAATCCAGACCACAAAAGGACCCAACCTGCCATTTTCAACAAGCAAAGCGCCCAGGATTTGCTTGGGTTCTACCCTTCACTAGTCAAACGTGGCAATTCCACTTTTCATCATGTAAGAAAGACATCCAAAATAGATATACCTGAGTCATATAGATGTCTGCTCTCTTATTTCCCGATGAAAATGTATCAATACCTATCATTCATTGGTGAAATCCCTGTGTCAAATCCACATTTTTTTGCCTGGTTGAATCGCAGATTATACCCATCATTAGTTGGTCCTAAACCATAAAAGTCGCATTTTTGTGGTTAAATCCTCCATATTGACACCCAAATGACTTGTAAATCATGAAATAACTTGGCTGGGCAGAATCCATGTTGAATCCCCATTTAATAAATGCTGGCGAAAATCCAGGGTGAATCCCCAAAAAAATATTTGTCCGTCCTCCAATGATCAGCCATATCCATATCAGTTCCTACTAAATGTTATAATTTCTCCCACTAAACATGTGGGATTCTCCAATTTCACCAGATACATGGGAAACTCACAAATAGTTCTTATAATTTATATCTGTTATCTGGTCTTTCCCGCTTTTCCCACCAAACATGTGGTATCATGTGGTTTATGTAATAAAACAGAACAATACCAGGCACCTGAAGGCCGTCGCCAATGCTCCACCACAAAGGCTGCAACACTTCGCTGCCGCGTCCTCGCAAAGCAGTGTGCCTGCGACCGGACTGTGGGGATGAAATGCATATAGACACTGTGACACATATCACATTGAATATATCATATACATACAGTATATCATATGTCCATACATAATAATATATATATATATATATGAACATATACATATTATATACATCATGTTAGATTAGAATCATAATGTTGACATATGGCAGTGGGTCAAAACCTTGTACCCCTGTAGTTCACATCAAAATAGCTGGTAAATGGATGTTCATCCCCCTAAAAATGGTATTAATAGGTATTGATCCATACCCATGTAGCAAGGAAATTGGTATTCTGGTTGGGTATGATGCGCATCAATCAATCAATCACCCCCCCGCCAACCGTCGGAGGATTTTCGGACTCATTGCTTTCCCACTCTGCAAGCTCCGTCACTGCTCCGTCCATGGTCTTCAAGTATAAAAAAAGTTCTATCTCTCGATCTTTTGATGTGAAGATGCCATAACCCATAGGATCCATGTATGCTATATGTATATATGGTAACATTTACCATGAATATACCCCCAATGTTAGCATATATACCATACATAGATCCTATAATAGGTATTAATAGGTATTGATCCATAGCCATATGTAGACAAATAAATCAGGTTCACTTCAAAATGGTCAAATGGTCAGCCCTCCAGATGCACCGAGGTCGCCACATTGCACGCAGGCCCGGCCCACCATTTTTTAGCATGGCCAGGTTGCGCCAGCTTCGATTCTTACGTGGATGCCTTGGAAATGTCCAATTTCAAATAATATTTCAATATTATTTCAATAGTATTTCAATGGGAAAATTCGGAAAATTGCCCAACATATCCCAAAATCTCATCGCCATCTACGTATTTATATATATATATATGTATTTATCATGAAACTGCCGTAGAAGAATTGTTGCTTCACTTCTAATTTATCAATTTGTCGAACAATCTCACAGAATAAGAGGGCAAATCCGCAATGTGGTACCATCATGCCATATATCTCTGGGCTCAGAATCAGCCACGGGCTCGAGCTGCGGAATGCAGAACAAGTGAACCATAGTGAACCACTAACCACGGCGAAAACATCGTCACTGCAGAAAGCGTTGATGAGTTTCCCCCCCAATGCCACAATGCCATATACCCTCTGGTAAACTAACATAGCTATTGAAAATGACCATTTATAGTGGATTTTCCCATTAAAACCAGTGATTTTCCATAGCTATGTTAGTTTACCAGAGGGTACTCGTTCTCGGTGTTGCACTGCACAGTCAAAAAACCGTTCTCGGTGTTTTGCCTCTCAATTCTCAGCATGCAGACCTGAAGCATCCTGAAGCGATTTTTGTTCCGGAACTCGGCTTTGTGTGGCAACGACAGTGCGTTGCAATGCCACTACCTTTTGACAAACCAACATTGCGGGAAATCCACCAGTTGCTTAATTTTTCACCCCGAAAATAACGGATCTGTCACTCTTATCTACGGTACAACCATCAATCATCCATGATCATCCATGCACAATGTGCAACCTGGAGGGTGGCAAGAAACCTGCAAACCTTGGTATGGGTCCAGTCAGTTGCTGCAAATCCTCAAAGGCCTCTCGACCAGTTATATACCACCACAACTGATGGATTTTCCAGCAGTGATGATTCATCAAAGGGTAATAAATCAATAAAGTTGCACTCCGGGTGCTCTGGAACACACAGCTGAGCCAAACTATGTGAGGATATTTTCTTAGTATTTTTTAGGTGCTGTTTCACACAACCGTTTATCACAGTTTCGCATTGCTTAAAGGCTTGAATCGATGACTGTGGCAACCTGCCGGTCTTTTCCGTTCGGAACACATCTCTTGTTCGGTGTGCTGTGTCCCGACGCTAACCGTCGCATGGTCGCAGCTGTGTCCAGAGCTCTTGCGTTGTGTCAAGATGCACCCAAAACAGTCCATCGGAGGCACCGTGGTTTTGGTCACGTTGATCATCTGTAGCAGCGTAGCAGTCTTAAACCCTGCACAAAAAATCATGATTTTCTGACCAAGAATTCAGATCAAGTTATCCTATCATGAATTTGTAATTGAAGGGTTTTACAACTATTATAATTATAGAATAACCCGATGGGGTTCCCCCAAAGTTCAAAGAGTGCTGAATAGACTCCAAACAGCTGCAGGGTTTATGAAGCCGAAATTAACAGATAGTGACAAATGCATACAAATGCCTTGTCTCTGAACCATCAGAGGCTTCTATCATCGTGCTTTGGGGTGGATCTCGACGCGCTCTAATTCGAATTAAAAATGGTACTCTACGCATCTCTCTCTGCTTGAGAGGTGTAGGAAGCTTCTCGGTAGCCATTTTTCATCTGGATGCTAGACACGACCGATTCTTACTGTTCTTTTCATTTGAAGTCAGGCCAGATCAGATTTTTCCCGGGAAAGCCAAGGTAAATCACTTGTTTTCCCATCTAGACCCTAACTTTGAGTGAATTCGGCCAAGCCAGGTGAGGACGAAACGGCGGATCGAAGACAAAGGAACGTTCAACTTGTCATCCATATCATCCATTGATATTCGGTTGTGCATCTAGCATTTGATGAAGACCTTCAAACCATGTCAACTGGTTTCTATACAATTCGAAATTGACCTCACTGTCTGCTCCTGGTACGTCCAGTAAGAACCAAACACATCCAACACCCCATCCGCCCCCGCTGCTTAGTAACTGGTGCTACCCAAATGGTGTTTCCATCACACAATGGTTATTTGCATTAGGACCCAGGAAAGTATCCCAACACATTCTGCTTCTGGGTAGAGAAAGTACACTGATAGCTAGCCCCAGCAGTTCCAAATCCCCTACATGTATATAATCATGTATATTTATATATGTGTATAATATGATATAATCATATACATAACAAGAAAATAAGTTGAAATAGATTGATATATGCTATATCAATATTCTACGGACGTTGCTCAGACAGATGTCATAATCCATAGAAAGCTAATGAAAGGAAGGACGTTCCAGCGTGCGTGCCTCCGTCAAGTACGAACCGTGCTTCACGCCAAAGATTTAGTACATCACCACACCTGGGTTCTGGTAAGGCGCCAACGCTGGTCCCTGCAGCCACCTGAATATCCTGGATGAAGTGATCTAACATGATCTACTGGTTGGTGGTTTCAACCCCTCTGAAAAATATTAGTCAGTTGGGAGTTGGGATGATGATTCCCAATCTGTGGAAAAATAAAAAATGGTCCAAACCACCAACCAGTCTAACTATCGAACTACCCAGAACTGGTTTGGTAGCTTTGGTTGGGATCGTGGGGCCTCGCATTGAGTTACTGACAAAACTGACCAAACTCAATTGATGTTGTGGACAATTGACATGGTTCCCCCATGTGTGGTGCTGTACTTCCCATTGACATTGGGTTGTCCAGTCACCTTCTCCAGTAACAACAGTGGTCAAAACCGTTGACATGGTTGATTGTCAAAAGTACATAATATCCAGGGATGCTCTGCTTTTGGCCACACTGTCACCACACAGATTCGTATACACATATAAAAATACATTACATATGTATCCCCCTTGCAATTCGGCCTCCGACCCTGACCCCTGAATCTTTAAGGGACCACTGGTAGCCTCTTAAAGAATGCGAACCAGGGCAAATTTCAGCCTTAAAGAATCTAACCCCAATGAACCAAGATTGCAACACAGTAGCCAGGTATGTCCCGTTAAAAAATTGGAGACCGTCAATAACACACCAAGGGGTGCCCCTTTAAAGAATTGGATACCCAAGTTGAAGTCAAGCATGAAATGTTCTGAATATTTTTAAGATTTTATGGATACATATCATGTACATTCATGTACATGTTAAAGAGATATGTGGATGTGGATGATATATGAATATATATATATGGTGCAGTTCCTAGAATCTTCCAAGGAAGGCCTCTTAAAGAATAGGAGACCGTCAAACAACAGGATTTCCTTAAAAAATAGAACTGTTTTTTTTTGCCGGCCAGGTATGTCCCTTAAAAAATACAGTTTTTTAAGGACATCATGTCCTGAACTTTTTAAGGAAAATTCCCAGGAGGATACATATGTGATCATTTATGTATATGGAGGCGTATGTATGACACCCCTTGTTGGCTTGTTAATGCTGATTGTTCTCTCCATGGGTTCCATCATGTAACATATGACATTATCTCTAGATGTTACTTTGTTCCAGCCGACATTGGAACACACACTCATCAGTGCCATGGTCAAGCTTCATTCTATATCGGCTATGGTCATTCAATCATCAATGTGTACAGTGAAACCACTGTTTAAGAACCTACTGCAATAAGAACTTCAGGGGCTGGATTGCTGGATTCAACCCTTTCTGTCAGTGACAGTCAGCTAATTGAAATAAGAACCCTAGGGCGCCCTGGAAGTCTAGTCACTGGTTCTTATCTAATGGTTCCGCTGTACATCTAATTACATGTTCCCCTGTGGACCCGACGGCTGGCTCCCCTGGCGGCTGAGGATGGCATAGGTCGACAGACGGCGCAACTAAGGATAAACTCAGAAGAGAAATGAGATAAACATCCTGTCCCTAGAAATTGCTCCTTACTGTTTTCTTATACCTACGTAGTAGTTATGTACAACCAATATATGTCACATTGTAAAACAAACATAAAATATGAACATGTATCTATATACATAAATATACAATGCAATGTAGTATCATCCCCCTTCTTCCATGGGTCCCCAAATAATAAACTGTATTACCTTTCAATACTATATACCAGGGTTTCTGGGAGATGTTATAAAATCATTTCGATCACGGGATTGAGTCATTCAACTTAACCATCAACCAAATCGGAAAGTAGGTGGTGCATCTATACCCATTTTTGAAATATAGTACGTAGTTTCATGTATTTTCCGTTGCGGTCTTAGATTAGCAAAGGGGGTCCTAACATGTCCTAACCAACATGGTTGCTGCCGTCTGCTAGAAAACACCTTGACCTTGCATTGCTTCATTGGATGTCCCTCCTGGGGATGGTGGTTGCTACCTTGAAATCCAACTGCTGCCCGGGATGCCTCTGGTTCGGCCAGCTTTGCATAGATGATACAGATGCCTGGGCATCACTGCGGGGTTTGGTCCCCTTCTTGTGGGGATGGTTCAAAATAAATGAGCCCGATGATTGTTTCCCCACACAAAAATAGCATAAAATAACCAAAGTTTTTGTAACGACTTGCTATCTGCAGAATCAATATCATATAGACCATACATTATATATATATATGCAGTGTATATATATATATTATACATCATATATATACATATACATATATATATATATCATTATATATCCACCATATTTATGTGGCTCAAAACAATAACATAAGAGAAACCCAGCCAACTTGTTTGAATGAAACTTGATGCACTACTACAAAATGGGTCTTAGTCCAAAGCAGCTGAACCCAGTTTGGCCGATCCTTTGTCAACTGGGGTTCCCACCATGCTTTGTGAGAGCATGTCTTCCTGTGCCCAGAGCATGCGACCACTAATTTCAGGAAACTGTCTCAAAGGAACCCCCTGAAGCAGCTACATCATGCGGTGAAATGGCAACCACACAAAGACTATGAAAATCTGCACTATATTGAGAAAGGATGCTGTTCGGACAAGGAAGCAACAATCACTGTAGGTTACAATCTACAAATTCCATCATCCACATATTACATATATG